CACACAAGACATATCAAACATTTGCCGGTCTCATTTCCTTATGACCCAAATTAACAGCTAGCCTACGTCACTACTCGGCAAAACGGAAGTCTACACTGATACCGTAACATACAGTATGGGTGAGTGAGTGAATAAACTTATACGTCCCATCGGCATTGTTTCAGCCAGAGCGACATGTACCATACGCACGGTGGCTTAGTATACAAGTAACAACTAAAACGTGTTGTAGCAAGTTGGTAAGGTCGTAACTTGCCGATTCAGTAATTTCCGCAATAACAATCCGTATCAGTAAACTTCCTACTTGTAAGTAATCAGTTAATATTTTATGTCCGCTTCAAATATGACGCGTAGCCGGTATCTTGAAGCAATCGGAGTGCTTTACTTCTCGGTCAACTGTAAGCGTGAAGAGCAATTGCTCCATCTTAACTGCGTCTGACGTTTTATGAAAAAATATACTTGTTGTAAAGAATATAACACAAATGAGCTGAATTCATACCCAATTATTCTAACAATGACTAGAGAGATCTCTAAATGTCCCTTAAATTTCACCCCCCTTAAATTTCGCAGATATACATCCTATGCCGTATACCTATAGATCCTGCCTGTTATACTATACACTGTAATATAACATTGTACTATATTTAGACAGTGCTGGATTGTACTACCCTCCTCTGCTGAAGAGACCTCCCGTGGAAATGTCTAGCAACCTATTTTTGTGTATATAAGGGGAGCTAGCTGTTCTCTTATCTCTCATTACATTTCAAGTCACTAGAAGACCAGCCTTGTGGGTGATGATCATATCCTAGTTTGCTTACCCTAGATGTCTAACCCTAGTTGCAAGATGGATTGCTGTTGCTAAGGAGTGAATATTACCGTGGCCTTTATTGCTATAACCACTGTTCTGGTATATATTACCTCTGCATTTGTTCTGCCAGAGTGTCACACAGAAGACCCTGGTTCGAATCCCCACATGGGTACAATGTGTGAAGCCCATTTCTTGTGTCCCCCTGCGATGTTGCTGAAATATTGCTAAAAAGCGGTGTCAAACCAAACTCAGTCAGTCTGCAGAGTGATACCTTTATTTTGATAAAAAAAATATTTATATTTGTGAACTTACTTTATTTTAGAATACACTGTTAATGACAGCAAATCTTTTTCGTTGCTTGTTGTTTTCTCATACAGTTCACTTATGGGCTGATTCCTGGTACACTTTCTAGTTTCACCATGGGAATCAACAGGTGACACACCTAACATTAACTGTGCCCTCAGCCAAGCCACAGGCTCGGGGATTATAGGCATTTTTTTTTTAAATCCTGGATTAGCCTCAAACACACATAATAGAATTTTAGTTAACAAACTGTATTTTTTATTTTATTCAAACTAAAATAAATAAATAATTGTTATAAAAAATATGGTTCACAGTAGAAAATGATGAAGACCTGCTAGTCTTTTGTCTTTGTCATACTAAACATTCCCTGTTGTTAAACAATGACAATATTGCAATCAGGCAATGACTGGGCAGATCTTCTTATCAGTGTAACCTGAGAGGGGTCAAACTGTACATACTGGACTAAACAAGTAGAGGATCATGAATATTTTGGGCCATATTCTTGTGCCGTGGAGACAGACACTGTCAGGTGCAGCATACATATATGTATTTATAAACTTATCCCCATAACTTTTCTCATTATCCATGAATGTTTTTGTTCACTTAAGTCAATCAATCAATCTTTATTCATACTGAAGGCCACAGGCCCATAGTATACAAGAACATAGTACACAATATCATAGAAAAGAGTAATATAGTCATATCACAACATGTCATATCACATCAAAATGTATCACATCATATAACATCGCATTACACATACTTTGTCGTATCACATCATATCATAACACCCCATATTACATCATGTCATATCATACCATGTATCATATCATATCATATCGCACCACATCATACCATATCGTAACAAATAACAATATGAGTACATACATTCTATGAATTATTATGTTTGTTTCTTAGAGACAATGCTTGATAGATAAAGGTTGACAACTTATAGATAAGAACATTGTCATCAGAACTCAATAACAGAAAATTTCACCCTATCGGGATATACAGAATAGTATCTTGGGACCTTTTTTTTTCTTAACTCACAATATAATGGGCAAATTAAGAGGAAGTGATATTCATCTTCTACACAATTAAGATCACAAAATGTACAAATTCTATTTTCCCTCTCTATTTTATGATATCTCCCTGTTTCGATTGCCAAGTCATGTGAGGAACACCTAAACCGAGCAAAAACCTTTCAAAATTTCTTGATATTTAGTGAGAGCAGATAATTCTCTCTGTATATATGGGATTTAAACATTCTATAATAGAAACATTTACTTGACAATGACAGTGCTCCTACCAATTCTTGTGTATATATATCTTTGAGCCTTTGAGTAACATTATTCACAAAAGTCATGATAATGTCAGTCTTTAGGTCACACCAACAGATTTATGTTTTGCATATCTTTAATCTTCAGAATACTTGAAAGTATAAAGGACACAAACATCAATAAAAGAATTTATATTTTTATTATAAAAAATATACATTTGTTCCAGTTCCATGAATGCCATATTGAAGACACATTATACCAACATATACTAATAATACAAAAAGCATGATTTTATAACCTTTATCACGTGTATAACATAAAATTTGCTGGTCAATTCAACAAAGTTAGGTCTTGGAAATATTCTGCATATAATATATATACAGCATATTTAAAAATTAAAAAGAAATCCTGAAAATGAAATCACCCTGTGTTTGGAATTCAGATGTATATTTGCAATATGCAACAAGTTCACAAAATATAACAATTGTATGAAATATTCATTTCTGGTAAGCACTGAATACACAGCCAGTGTTAAAATAATTCATTTGGTGATGGTCTGACATGACAGACATATGCATGAGTGAGTGAGTTTGTTTTAAGCTTCTTTCGGCAATAATATGGCCCCATCACATATGGGACACCTTGAAACCATTTAAATTAAATCAGACCTTTCAGTCCAACAAGCTATCTCCCTGTCTGAAGACCTGAATACACTTTAAAGGTGGCGTCATTTTAAGACATTCAGGATCAGACAGTGAAACTCAAATAATGAAACCTTTAAAGTTGAAAGACCTCTAATTCAGAAACTTTCATTTGCTCTATTCAAGCTCACTATTTTATTATATATCTGATAGCTAGAACCCTTCTTGGATACCAGCTACCAGATACATTTAAGGGTGACTACAAATAAATGATGAAATAACTGTTTAGAAATATTTTCTGGGTCCCTGAATTTTCAAATTTATTGTTAAAGCTGCAAAAAGACACTTCTCAAAGACAATATGTTCAACATAATAAGGCATGGAAACACTAAACATAAACAGCAATCAACAGTAACAAATATATTTAAAAGAAAAATAATAGTATCACAATTATCACAATTAAAATACAGTCAAAAAGACCCTCCTGACTAAGTAAACACTGATATATGTTTTAGTAATAGATGTCGAAATATTCAGCAATACATTGTAAAACTCGACACCTGTCACTATAATGATCATATTCCATCATGAAAGAAACTTAGAACCCTCACCATACAGTAAATTTGAGTCCATTTAAAACAATATTGACTAGAGAGCAGAGAAAAAATATAATTCCTTTTGATATTTATTTCTCATGGCTTCAACATGTATTGTATTGTTACATTATGTTTCACAATGTATGAAACAATAGGTGAATAACTGCATCCCTAACCTCATAAACAGTGTCATCAAAAAAGATGCAATCTCTGAAGGACTTGTTTGGTTAAAAAGTTAATGAATAAACCAATAAAACTAATCCAAATGATAATGAACGATACATATGACTTTATGATGCTTGCATAAGTGAAATTATTGCAGCATATTATAGTCAAAAGCAGACTGATGAATTGGGATCTAAATCGAAAACTAATAAACATGTAATACTCAATGAAACACTGATCATAATCAAAACATCAGACCAACTCTGTGATTTGTGTGCAGAATTTATGTCATAAAAATAAGAAAGTTGTTTAACAAACTATCATTAAAATAGTTCACTATTGAGGATCAGCCAGGTGTACGCGAAGCACGTAAACAAGTGCCGACAAAGTTATTCATTTACCTGTGCTGTGCCGTCTCCATCCTTTCTCGCACACCTGGCTGTTCCTCTCTTTGCACCCCTCCCTCTTAACAAATAGTGAACTGTGTCAAAATTTTGATGATAGTTTGTTAAACAACTTGTTTATTTTTGGGAAAAAAATCACAGAAGTGGTCTGATGTTTTGATTACAATCAGTGTTTTATTGAGTATTATATGTTTATTAGTTTTAGAGTTAGATCGCAATTCATCGGTTCACTTTTGAGCCAAATGGACTATATCAGGCTTTTGATGATTTATGTATAAAGAACCCAGTATTATACTGCAATGACAAGGCTATCAGTACCTACAGTTATGTACCAGCAGAGACCATATAATATCTATTATATGGTCTCTGGTACCAGGAGAGTCCAAAGGATCATGAGGTAGTGTTATCTCCCCTTGCAACCAAAGCCGTTCCTTCAACAACTTAAGTTTTGTTAGTTTGTTTATTGTTAAACAGCACTCAGCAATATTACAGCAGGGGGTGGAAATAACCCATTGCCCGACGTCCGAGTCCAGTGTTTTATTCTGTCGAGCAAGCACATTTGTATATCACGCTGTACCGGTGTCCAGTTGACATTCCAATGTTAATTATGTTGTTTATTTAAAGAATCACCAAGAAAATCGGCCGGTATAGCGGATAAATTATCAGGGCAAGTGATTTTACATGTGCCACTGTACCGGAGTACACTAGCAATTTTAAAGTTATTTCCACCCCTGTACAGCTATATGATGGTGGTCTGAAATTAATTAAGTCCGGACCAGACAATCCAGTGATCAACAGCATGAGCATCGATCTACACGATCGGGATATGATGACATGTGTCAATTAGTCAGCCAGTCTGACCACCCCATCCTGTTAGTCACCTCTTACAACAAGCATGGGTTACTGAAGATTCATTCTAACCTGGATCTCCTCAGTATCAACAAGTTAAGTGGAATCCTCATCATGAAACTTTAGTATGGTGTTGCATCAGTGCTTTGCCACTTTATTTCTTTCGCTGAAGCATCTTCACCCAGATTCCATTTTCTGCTTCCAGGATACCAAGTTTCTTGAAAGTCATTGGAACCTGTTGATAATTAAGTGCCATATTAACCACTTTATATGTTGAAACTAATAACAGACGTTTGGTTTTGTGGCCTTACATGTTTGAGCTACTTACACAATTCTAGAATTTTATCATGTTTCAACTGATCATCAATATAGAAAGACAGACATTTCGTAGCGTTTTCCTTACCTGAGTTTTCTCACTCCTGATTGGTTTAAAGTTCTGCAGAAGTCTGGCAATCCCAATCTTCGCTTCCAATAGCGCCAGTCTCATCCCAATACAGTTCCTCGGCCCAGCACCAAATGGAATATATGCGAGAGGATTGCGTTTTGCTTTGGCTTCGGTGGTAAATCTAGAAACATGGACATAGGAAACATCAGGCTGAACTCTCCACAGCATCACATTACTGCCTCAAGCTAATTTGTAGATCATGTCACCATACTTTTGTCTTGTTTGTAAAAAAACATGCTTATTCTGGATTAAACAGACTGGCCTAATGTTAAGTTCAGAGTGCCTAACATGTTGTATCGTGAAGTGTCATGTCGTGTCTTGACGTGTTGTGTCGTGTCGTGTCGTATCGTCTCTTATATACAACAACAGTAAGGAGGATAACAATATATCTCATAGGGAATGTATCACAATCTGTTCAAAGAGCTTTGATGACAGCCAAAGGAGAGGTAAAAACCAATTTAGACCAAGCATAAATATTCAAAAGGACACAATTTTTAATGTTTTTGCCCATGTTATCAATGAAAGGTAATCATTTTGTCTGAAGGTGTAGACGTTTAAAACATACGACAGATGAAAGATATAATTTGTTAAATAAAGTGTGTAAGAAGTGAAGAATGACTACATCTCACTAGTCTTCAAAACCTAAATCTAAACTGTAAACCTAAAAGTCCCATACTTTTAACTACTTTAATAAGAAAGATAAATATATTGTCATATGTAGAGTGACCTTTAAACAAAAAGACATTCATGATTTATTTAGACCTATTAGGAGGCCAATATTGAACCCCAGGTCAGAAACAAATGTCTGTAAAAAAAACCTAAACACAATAAAACACTACCCATTTCATGGTGTTATATGTAGATGGCTTGAACACCCAATCGTGAAGGTCCGGGAAAGAATTGATCTTCAGTAACCCATGCTTGTCGTACGAGGCGACTAACAGAATTGGGTGGTCAGGCTCGCTGACTTGGTTGACACATGTCATCGGTTCCAAATTGCGCAGATCAATGCTCATGCTGTTGATCACTGGATTGTCTGGTCCAGGCTCGATTATTTACATGCCGCCATACAGCAGGAATATTGCTGAGTGCGGCGTAAAACTCACTCACTCACTCACCCATGGCTTGAACAGCTGGGATAAATTCAAAAGGTGATATATACCTCTCAGGATCAAATCTCTCTGGGTCGGGCCAGTACTCCTCATCGTAGTGGATGGCAGCTATTGGGATTGTGATGTCCATATCCTTCGGGATCCTGATGCCACAGACCTCAACATCTTCCGTGCAGTGTCGGTCAAACCTACAATTAGTCATTAGGTGGTTGATTTATTCAGGTCTGAATCTATTTCAGCTTATAGTGAGGTCTGCTTGTCCATCTGTTTCAGAGAAATGTTGAAATAAAGCTTACAGACTGATGCAATGTCATTCAAATGAGAGCTGATCTTCTACACTAATTGTAGCACTCCCATGTGCTTCACGAACTAACTCCGGAGAGCGGAAGGTCGCGGGTTCGATCCCTGACCGCGTCATACCAAATGATGTTAAAATATGGTACTTGTTGGTCCCTGCCTGGCGCTCAGCATTAATGGGTACATCAAGGACTGGTCGGCTCGGAGTCAGTATAATGTGTCTGAGTGGGGTATTCATGCTTCACTGCGGCATGGTATCTCAGTGGGCTAGCACTATAAAACCAGCTTCAGTCTGGGCTAGTACAAGCAGCCGCACCTACACATACACAGGCATGCACGTCGTCATACGAGCGAAATATTCTCAAGCACGACGTTAAACCCAATTTCACCTCACGAACTAACTAAACTACAAATGTCATGAGGTTTGAGTCAAATGCCATGTGACCTCTGTATCTAGTGACCTTGACCTAAATATCGAGGTCACTCATGTGATTGTGGCCTGAACCAGACCTGTTTAAATGGACTGCTCAAGACACATAAACAGAGATTACACGCCCTGGACAGAGAGACAGATGACCAGGACATGAGCAGAAGCTACTGACCTGGTAGAGGGAGGGAAGAGTCGGATTTTCTCACTGACGCACATATCCAGGTACTGAAGCTCACTACTGACCTGGTAGAGGGAGGGAAGAGTCGGAGTGTCTCACTGACGCACATATCCAGGTACAGAAGCTCACTACTGACCTGGTGGAGGGAGGGAAGAGTCGGAGTGTCTCACTGACGCACATATCCAGGTACAGAAGCTCACTACTGACCTGGTGGAGGGAGGGAAGAGTCGGAGTGTCTCACTGACGCACATATCCAGGTACAAAATCTCACTACTGACCTGGTAGAGGGAGGGAAGAGTCGGAGTGTCTCACTGACGCACATATCCAGGTACAGAAGCTCACTACTGACCTGGTAGAGGGAGGGAAGAGTCGGAGTGTCTCACTGACGCACATATCCAGGTACAGAAGCTCACTACTGACCTGGTAGAGGGAGGGAAGAGTCGGAGTGTCTCACTGACACACATATCCAGGTACAGAAGCTCACTACTGACCTGGTAGAGGGAGGGAAGAGTCGGAGTGTCTCACTGACGCACATATCCAGGTACAGAAGCTCACTACTGACCTGGTAGAGGGAGGGAAGAGTCGGAGTGTCTCACTGACACACATATCCAGGTACAGAAGCTCACTACTGACCTGGTAGAGGGGAGGGAAGAGTCGGAGTGTGTCACTGGCTCACACATATCCAGGTACAGAAGCTCACTACTGACCTGGTAGAGGGAGGAAGAGTCGGATTTTCTCACTGGCAGCACATATCCAGGTACAGAAGCTCACTACTGACCTGGTAGAGGGAGGGAAGAGTCGGAGTGTCTCACTGACGCACATATCCAGGTACAGAAGCTCACTACTGACCTGGTAGAGGGAGGGAAGAGTTGGAGTGTCTCACTGACGCACATATCCAGGTACAGAAGCTCACTACTGACCTGGTAGAGGGAAGAGTCGGAGTGTCTCACTGACACACATATCCAGGTACAGAAGCTCACTACTGACCTGGTAGAGGGAGGAAGAGTCGGAGTGTCTCACTGACACACATATCCAGGTACAGAAGCTCACTACTGACCTGGTAGAGGGAGGAAGAGTCGGAGTGTCTCACTGACGCACATATCCAGGTACAGAAGCTCACTACTGACCTGGTAGAGGGAGGGAGGAAGAGACACATTACATCCAGGAGTGTCTCACTGACCTGGTACATATCCAGGTACAGAAGCTCACTACTGACCTGGTAGAGGGAGGAAGAGTCGAGTGTCTCACTGACGCACATATCCAGGTACAGAAGCTCACTACTGACCTGGTAGAGGGAGGAAGAGTCGGAGTGTCTCACTGACGCACATATCCAGGTACAGAAGCTCACTACTGACCTGGTAGAGGGAGGGAAGAGTCGGAGTGTCTCACTGACGCACATATCCAGGTACAGAAGCTCACTACTGACCTGGTAGAGGGAGGGAAGAGTCGGAGTGTCTCACTGGCACACATATCCAGGTACAGAAGCTCACTACTGACCTGGTAGAGGGAGGGAAGAGTCGGAGTGTCTCACTGGACGCACATATCCAGGTACAGAAGCTCACTACTGACCTGGTAGAGGGAGGAGAGAGTCGGAGTGTCTCACTGACGCACATATCCAGGTACAGAAGCTCACTACTGACCTGGTAGAGGGAGGGAAGAGTCGGAGTGTCTCACTGACACACATATCCAGGTACAGAAGCTCACTACTGACCTGGTAGAGGGAGGGAAGAGTCGGAGTGTCTCACTGACACACATATCCAGGTACTGAAGCTCACTACTGACCTGGTAGAGGGAGGGAAGAGTCGGAGTGTCTCACTGACACACATATCCAGGTACTGAAGCTCACTACTGACCTGGTAGAGGGAGGGAAGAGTCGGATTGTCTCACTGACACACATATCCAGGTACAGAAGCTCACTACTGACCTGGTAGAGGGAGGGAAGAGTCGGAGTGTCTCACTGACACACATATCCAGTTACTGAAGCTCACTACTGACCCTGGGAAGAGGGAGGGAAGAGTCGGAGTGTCTCACTGACACACATATCCAGGTACTGAAGCTCACTACTGACCTGGTAGAGGGAGGGAAGAGTCGGAGTGTCTCACTGACACACATATCCAGGTACTGAAGCTCACTACTGACCTGGTAGAGGGAGGGAAGAGTCGGAGTGTCTCACTGACACACATATCCAGGTACTGAAGCTCACTACTGACCTGGTAGAGGGAGGGAAGAGTCGGAGTGTCTCACTGACACACATATCCAGGTACTGAAGCTCACTACTGACCTGGTAGAGGGAGGGAAGAGTCGGAGTGTCTCACTGACACACATATCCAGGTACTGAAGCTCACTACTGACCTGGTAGAGGGAGGGAAGAGTCGGAGTGTCTCACTGACACACATATCCAGGTACAGAAGCTTACTGAAGCTCACTACTGACCTGGTAGACCTGGGAGGGAGGGAAGAGTCGGAGTGTCTCACTGACACACATATCCAGGTACTGAAGCTCACTACTGACCTGGTAGAGGGAGGGAAGAGTCGGAGTGTCTCACTGACACACATATCCAGGTACAGAAGCTCACTACTGACCTGGTAGAGGGAGGGAAGAGTCGGAGCGTCTCACTGACACACATATCCAGGTACTGAAGCTCACTACTGACCTGGTAGAGGGAGGGAAGAGTCGGAGTGTCTCACTGACACACATGTCGAGGTACTGAAGCTCACTACACTGCTCATAGGAAACCTCTTGCTGGAAAAGACAGATACTCTTTCTTACAAAGGAAACTACACAAACGAAAGAAACAAACTTTTATGCACTTCTTCATGATAAAACAAAGCCACCGGATTTGCATTCTGAGATACGTTTTTAAATTATACTTCAGTTGGTAACACTTGAATAAAGAAATATTGGTATGTGACTGCTTGGTTTGTATTTAGGAAACAGTTTGACATCACCAATAATGTCGTCATCATCAAATGCTGAAATGTACTGCCCATCTTGCTGCATTATTATGCATTATCAATTCAAGGATTGTGCAGGTTACAGGATAACAAGGGTGTAAGGCGGAAAGTATTTACAGGTATCTGCTCAAATAGAAGCAGCACTTTCGCTGATATTCACTTAGCATTTTAACATACCACCATCTACATCCTACCTCAGAACATTACTTATTGCCTTGAAATTAATCAAGCTAAATTGTAAGGCCCAACAGTTACCCAGTCTCAGGTTTGTACAAGAAAAAGAATATCAATGTCTGGTAATGAAAGATATAACCATATTTTACAAAAACTCAAAGATGACCTTGACCTTTGATAGAGATATTACCAATATTGCATGGGTAGGAACTATGCAAATGTAAGGTTCCATGCCTGTAGAGGTAACCAGGGCTCAGAACATGACAATGATATAACCATCTATAACGAAACCATGACCAATGACCTTAATAAAGTGAATGCAGTTGACATTTGAAGTGGCTGGAGTTGTCAAGAAACATACAAATTTAATATTCCATACCAGTCTAGGTACACATACCTCAAAATCTGATTATAATCTACCAAAGTTTGAGAAAGTTGAGAAAAACGGAATGGTGACCTTGACACATCACTGATCTTGATCAAAATCTTTTCATAGAAGAGCCCCATACTAGAGTAGGTATATACAGTGTATATAACATAGCCCATCCCATCGTCCTTGACGGTCTATTTTTGTGAAGGATGGCCTATTAAATAGCACACTGGTAATAATAATACACTTGTATATACTGTTTCTAATGATAACACATGAACATTTTGATTAAAATCTTTTTTCATCTTATGATCTTGACCTTGAAATCTATGAAAGATTAATGTCTAGTGTCAATATCTTTGAAAAATTGAAAAATTCACTGAATTCAGGCTTCATTAGGCTGCATATTATCAGGAAATCAATACCAGCAGATTTATCAACCTTTTGTACATGTCTGTTCTTACGTTCATTGATTCACCTTATCTCCCAGTACTCTGTCTACCTCCTGGATGACTTGTTCACAGACGTCCGGGTTGAGGGCCAGGTTATAGATGAGGAACGCCATGGTGGTGGCTGTCGTGTCGTATCCAGCGACAAGGATGGTGAGGGCCTGGCCGTGGATATCTTCTGTTGTCAAGCCTGGTATGAAATTATCAAATTATTGAAGAACAAATGTGTGAGTGAGTGAGTGAGTGAGTGAGTGAGCGAGGTTCTGTAGCTCACCATTGAGTGAGTGAGTGAGTGAGTGAGTGAGTGAGTTTCGGTTTTATGCCGCTTTTAGCAATATTCCAGCAATATCAGGGTGGGGGGGACACTGAAATGGGCTTCGCACATCATATCCATTTGGGGAATCGAACCCGGCTCTTCGGCATGATGAGCGAACGCTTTAACCACAAAGCTACCCCACCGCCCCATATTGTTTGGAACTTTTGCATCATTAGAGGTATGTGGAATAAATTCAGCAGCATGTTTAAGATTATGTAACTCCTACAGCAACATGCATGTGGCTGCTTGTGCTGGTCTGCTGTTATACAGGTCTTATAGTGCCAACCCACTGAGAAACCATGCAACAGGTTAACAGCTTCCTCAGACACAGTATACTAACTGAGCGAACCTGTCCTTGTTTTATACTCTTAATGCAGAGCACCAGGCAGGGTAACAACAACTAACACTTTTTAAACATATTTGGTAAGATGCTACTGTATGACTTCCCACTTGCCGGGCAGATACTATATCAATGGAGGCAGTCTAGCAACGTTATATCAAGAAGAATAATGACAATTATTATGGATATACAACATCTTTTATTCTGTGGAGGCGACGTTTCGACATATGTTCTAATGTCGTTGTCACTTGCTTGACAACGACATCAGAACCAATGTCGGAACGTCGCCTCCACAGAATAAAAGAAGTTGTATATCCATAATAATTGTCATTATTCTTCATCAACTCAACTTCTAAATGCCCATCAAAGAAAACTTTAAATCAAGAAGATGAAAATACACCAAAATGTTACAGAAGTTTCTATTTGGCAATTATCACGTGTCCCTGTGTCTTATCTCTGACTCACCCCTGCTGCTCCAGGTCTGTGAGGTCACTAGACTGTCTCTGTGATCAATCTCCTTGTCCACCTCCTCACTACCAACCTCTGCGTCGATCATCATCTGGAGGAGGTCGTTACTTTTCTACAATAGAAGTCATAGTTCTGAACAAACCATCTCAGAGCTGGGTCAGCAAAATATCATGCAGTCAGATGTCCAATATATTATTATTATCTACAAAAAGAAGTAAATTGTTTGGTGGTGAAAATAGCTTTAGAATTGAAACTGCTGATTTTGGGAAAACCAAGGTATTCAGAAACAGTGAGTGAGTGAGTGAGTTTAGTTTTACGCCACACTCAGCAATATCCCAGCTATATGGCGGCGGTCTGTAAATAATCGAGTCTGGACCAGACAATTCAGTGATCAACAGCATGAGCATCGATCTGCGCAATTATCAGAAACAGTGGTCACACACTCTTCAGTTACAGTAATTTTGTATTCTATATTGTAGGTTGTTATTGCTTGAACACAATTACCTGGCTACTGCTTCTCCGTTGTTTGATTGCATCATCAGTGACCTTCACAAAGAAACAGGTGAGACTCTTCGGCCAGATACTAATATTGAACAGTTTCAGCAATGGCACAAGGAAGGGAAAGAAAACTGAAAGAGGTGAGTAACAGAGTTAGTGAAAGTTTTATTATGCCAGGGTCAGAAACAATCAATCCCAGTAGCCTGTAAATGATCAAGTCTAGCCCAGTCAACAGGTTGATAGCATGAACAGAGACCAATATCATTAGGTCACAATGACCAGTCATAAATATTCTAAGACAAACCAGTGATTGGCATCATGAGCAGTGTAGAAATATGACAATATGTGTAGAGATAGTTTAACAGATGTGATTTTTCAGATCTTAACTGACTAAAGATGATGCGGAAAGTTTGTTCAAGACAGTTTCACTAAACCAATAATATACAGACAAAAGGTCTAATTTTTTTACTGATTTGTGACACCCCCCATCATGACTCTCTTGTAAACCAGAATCCCCTGGGTAATGTGATGAAGTAGCCTGTCTCACAGTGCCTGAAAATTATTTTCTGCTCCACCCTGTAAAGATGTAAATGAATGAAGTCTAGCTTTTCCTCTGGTTCAGGTTCTCAATCTCCAGCATCAATGCTGCTCCTTCTCAGTTTAAATTACATATTTTCAGAGACTAAGGGACCATTCATAATTTATGGCTAGGGGGGTTGATGATGATTTTAATGGGGGGGGTCACCCATTTTGTTCTGGGGAGATAGGTGGGGTCAGTAAATTTTGTACACACTTACTAGGGGGGTCAGTAATTTTGTCTGGAAATTGGTAATATAGTAAAGAAGTCAGTGCCACAAGACCCACTTACAAATAAGAATAATCAGCCAGATCTTTGGGTTAAAGAATGCCTTGGCACCCCTTACAAAGGCATTGTTGGGATCATTCATGGAGTCGATGTCAATGCCAAATGCTGTGCTGCATATGGTGTCCATTGTATATGCTCCAGTCAACCTGTCAATAACAAAATGAGTGTAACAGTAAAGTCCATCCTTGCTTGGACAGCATATGTTTTTAATTAATCTTAACTCTAAATAAGTTGCTAAATGTGATTTAAAGAGTGGTAATTTCTGAATTTTCCTAAATCTGATTAACATAGAATTGGGTTTGAATACACTGTCATCAACAGGGATGGAAATAACCCATTGCCCGACGTCCGAGTCCAGTATTTTTCCCAGTTGGGCAAGCAAATTTGTATATCACGTTGTACCAATGTCCAGTTGACTTTCCAATGTTAATAATGTTGTTTATTTAAAAAATCAACAAGAAAATCGGCCGGTATAGAGGAAAAATTATCAGGGCAAGTGATTTTACATGTGCCACTGTACCTGAGTACACTAGCAATTTTAAAGTTATTTCTACCCCTGATCGATATCACATCCATTGTGTATAGATGATCATTAGCAGCATCCTGTAAACTTGGGGTAAGATGTCATGAAACCTCTTGTACTTCCAAAAAGGTGTGTCCAGCTTATTCATCAAAATAGTGGCAATCAGTGTGCTTATTCCAAGCCAAGCAGTGCTTGTTTTATTCACTTACTGCAGAGTACCATATGTCTACACTCTTTCATATGACACAGACCGCCTCCGTGGTGTTGTGGTTAGAACGTCCGCCTGGAGAGCGGAAGGTCGCGGGTTCGATCCCCGACCGCGTCATACCAAAAGACCTTAAAATATGGTACGTGTTGGTCCCTGCCTGGCATTAATGGGTACAACAAGGACTGGTCGGCTCGGAGTCAGTATAATGTGTCTGAGTGGGGTATTCATGCTTCACTGCGGCATGGTATCTCCGTGGGCTAGCACCATAAAACCAGCTTAAGTCTGGGCTAGTACAAGCAGCCGCACATACACATACACACGCATGCACATCGTCATATGAGCGAAATATTCTCAAACACGACTTAAACCCAATTTCACCTCACCTCATATATGACATGGCCAGGCATTAAACCAACAATCTGCTCTCAAGGCAGATGCTCTTATCTATTGAACCATAGTGGTGGCTTATTACAATATACTGTAACATGTAAACAATGAAATTTCAGATTTGTTACTTATTAATTGACTGACTGAGGTTGGTTTTACGCCGCTTTTAGCAATATTCCAGCAACCTGGCGTGGGACACCAGAAATTGGCTTCACACAGTTACTAATTAAACTTCCTTGAAATTGTCTTTCTTAAGGAATGCAAAAGAGATAAACTTTATTTTTGCAATCAACCTCAAGTCAAGTCTCATTTGAATTTTACTCTTTTTCAAAGTAGCTGTAATATGAATATCTTGTCACTTTAAATAATATTTTGGTATCTTTTCTCTTTTCCTAGATTAACTCCCCAACAAAAAAACAACCCAGAAAGCAATTTATTATGTTTGTCTCACAAACCTGGTCTATATAGCTGTTGATTTCAGTATAATTGTTCATACTTTGGGGTGGTATTGTTTTGTTGCTGTATTTCTTTGACCCAAGAATGGGTTGCTGAAGATCAATTCTAAGCTGAAGCTCCCTGGGTACTGTCTTAAGTGTATGTTTATACCATCGGTATGGCTTCATCTTGACATACTAAATCTTCACTTACTCTTTCACCTCAAATTCTTCTCCAGACTCGGCCTTGACCTTGAAGTGTTGGACAAGAGTGTCTGAGGTCTTGTTAAGCAGGCCGACCATCTATATTACACACGGACATTATGGTTCACAAAATGCATGACAGTAGTTACAGCAGCAAAAGTACTAACGACACCTTTGGGAGGTTCATTTCATGTGACCATTCGGCTGAATAGCCATTATATACAATATAATGAACCTCAAAGGTTAAAATAAATATCAATGGACCACACTAACAGCACATATATAGGTAGCAAAGAAAAGACCCCGAATAATATAAATAACATTGTGAACTATATAAAGTGCCGTATAATATGAATGATATTGTGCTATAAAGGTGCCCACAAAAGGACAACAAATGTTATAGAACAACATTCACTAGCAAGAACACCAGATGGTGCTGTCATCTCTGCAACAGCCTCAGTTAGATCAACTTATTCCACTGTGTAGATGACACATGTGTTCAATGTTGAGTTCAACTACTAATAATACATATAAAACATTGTATTTCATTTTGAATGAAGATGGCTGAGTAATGGCCACAAATGTGTCTTCCAATATGGAGTGAGTGAGTGAGTGAGTGAGTGAGTGAGAGTGAGTGAGTGAGTGAGTGAGTGAGCGAGCGAGGAAGTGAACAAGCATGGTTTAATGCTGTTTAGGAATATATTCAAAATGGTCATCAAAATGGTATTCATCCACTGCACCCATGAGAGCAATTATACCAGTCATGGGTGTTGATTTTTTTTGTTTAACGCCCCTGGACCAGACAATCCAGTGATCAACAGCATTAGCATCGACCTAATGCAATTGGGATGTGATGATGTGTCAACCAAGTCAGCGAACCTGACCACCCGATCCTGTCGCCTCTAACGACAAGCATGGGTTGCTGAAGACCAGTTCTAACCAAGATCGTCAAAGGGTCCAAAGTCATAGGTGGGATGAGGGAAAGCCTAACCACTAGGCTACCTTACTGCCTGGACTTTCAGCCTGGTCTGGTAAACTAAAAAGACAACCTTTAAATAATTGTGCAACCAAATACCTTTTTGAGTTTTCCTGAACTGAATGTAGGCGACAGCAAGCTTCTGACGTGTTTCCAGTGATCGTTGCGTATTGTTGTCATGGCATAGTTCAGAGGGTAGTCATTCACCCCTTCAAAAGCCTGGAGAATACAATATACAATGAATACACATATCAGCTCTGCAGCTGTTAGAGACCATAAATATACAGTAATTGGTCAACACAAACGTTTCAACAACTCAAACTTCCAAATCTTCTGAAATAACAAATCCCAGCTTACAAATCATTATGTAGACAAACATTTGCAATCACGATATAAAGAAGCTGTTATCCATAAAGTTTGTCAATATTCTACTTCCCAGCTTCTAAAATGCCACTCAAAGAAGTGACAAGTCACTGTTTGTACAAAGTATTCACTGTACAAAGCATCCTGTTCCAATTAGCGACTCCATCCAACTTCTACACCAATATGTTACTGATCTATGTACGCGCCCCCTACTGAGGGAGAACATGTAAAACACTCCTTATTTTCTTGTGTATTGATATACCACAGAATTGTTAAACTGAAACAATTGGAGCAGGGGTATATTGTCACTAAATAACTTTTATTGACAAAGGTTTATGCTAAGCAGCATTTGAACTTACTCACTGTTTTATTAAAGGTTTCATTAAAGGCAACATAAAACACAACTTTGCAGATTCTGATACCTTTCGGTATGGACATAGCGAAACAAATCGTCAAAAATGCAAATTCAACTTATAAAGTTGAAAAATAACGCGATGAAAAAAAACGCGCGAAATCGGAGTTCAAACGTTTCACTAATTTTCCCCAGACTTTTCTGGGGAAAACGGGTTTCAACAGCTGGGCTGCGCTCATAGCATGTGCGCAGTGAAATAGGTTCGCGCAGCTTGGAAGCGGGTTGTCGGGTGAATACTCGGTGAAGGCTTTGGTGTGAGCTATTTTTCTAATGTTTTGTTGATATCTCACAGGCCGTGAGCTTTTTATATGTTATGACAGTAAATTAACTGTTTATATAATTTCATTTGTCTATTTCACCACATGTTCTTCTTACCGAGACACTTTCTCAGTTCGATACTTAAAAGCAATGTCATTATTTAAGCGTTGACACAATTTCTAACTGTGATATAGATATGTCGTTGTCACAGACAAAACTCAATGTCTTGTTTTATTGACACCTGTGTGTCTGCCTGCCTGTCTGCTAATGACAATATTCAATACACAACTGCGATCACTGACCACATGCAATTTGAACTTAACACCAATCAGGCTATACACCATAAACAAAACGCATTGATTTATGGCCCGAGTTCGGTCTCTGTCACATTATGTAATTACACAGACAGGCAGGTGTGATACTTGAACATATGACATGTTATGATGTCTGTTGATTGCAAAATGTTATACACAAAAAATGAGCATGTATTTACAAAACCCAACATCTCTATATATACACACACAATGAGCCATGAAGGCGTCATCTGCTAATGAACCAGCCGTTACACTTGAGTGCACACCCACCCGCTTTGACTGGGTTCGGTATCCCGGCTGCTTCGTTTCGAGGGAGGTAAACCCAAGTACAAAATATTGCACTTTTGATTTGCGATTATTCGCTTATAATTTTGTTTATTTGTTTTTTCATAATCAGCAATGCATATTATATGTCATGAAGAAGTGATAATTGTGTTTTAATTATGTTTGATTTTTTGGTTGCATGTGACCTTTAAGTGCCCTAATTTGTCAATTTTCAAGCTTCCTTTAAACTGAAGGGCAAAGAAGTTTTCTAGTATGTAATGGAACATTGAAGGAACTGTATATTTAACTATTACTCATTCTGAAACTATTAGTTGAATGTGGCTTGGTAACGTTTTATAAAAATTGGGTAATATTGAGTAAAAACTGGATAATATTGTGTAAAACCTGGGTAATATTGTCTAAAATCTGGGTAATGTTGTGTAAAAATACACTGGTTCCATGAAGACTGGCATAAGAATTACATTTGTAGCCACATGACCATAATCATGTTTTATATGGTGTGAATTTGTCCCCCCCCACCAAACCCAACAAATTTACTGATTCCCAAAGAGAAGCTATCCATCAGCAGTTGTGTAAGATGTTCATCTTATCTTTAAATTTTTTAAAGCTAAATTATGTTTTACAAAGTGAAACCATGTAGAAGTATTCTTTGAGGTTTGTGGGGCGGTGGGGTAGCCTAGTGGTTAAAGCGGTTGCTCGTCACGCCGAAGACCTGGGTTCGAATCCCAACATGGGTACATTGTGTGAAGCCCATTTCTGGTGTCCCCTGCCGTGATGTTGCTGGAATATTGCTAAAAGCGGCGTAAAACTTAACTCAGTCAGTCAGTCAGTCTTTGAGGTGTGACTCACCACCAATACAGTTCAATATATTTGTGTAAAATTGCCAACTTAACATATTTACATTTAAAAATCAAACTGAGAGGTATAGTTTCTTTTGCCTCTCAGTATATCATGGCAACAGGTATTCTAGAGAGTCTCGATTTCCCAGGTACCATATTCACCTTAATACATGCCCAGTGAGTAATAAACATGACAAACCCTTCTGTTGATGAAACAGTTGAACTTCTTGATGAGGACTTCCTTCATGATGTTGATGTCAGTGATGAACATCATTGGGTAGCTGCCTTCAAATATCCTACATACAGATAAACATATATCATTAGTGAATCCTTTTGTGCACTGTCGTATCAAGTCTAGATAATGACTGTTCTGGGAATTATATTGACTTGCTCAGAGACTCATATTTGCCCCTAAGTCTGTAACAAATGCTGGTAAATATTCCCACATTTGAATTAAACATTTTTGATTTCTCTAACTAATGTTTCAGCTTTGTATTTCACTGATAACAAAAACAATGAAGCGTGACAAAGTTCTGATGCCTAGACTCACATTACTGAATTGAACAGATCCTAGGTGTAGGTAACGAAATGTGAAATGCATGCCCATGATATATATTTTGACAAACTGAAGACTCTGCATAGACAAAAGATGTCCACTTAATGTGTGATCAGTTTCATAAAATAGCTATATTGCTATTGAGGTTGATCACAAGTAAGGTTTTTGTTTTATCAGATATAAAACGACATGAATTTGAACAAATGTAAACAGATGTCATCCTCACCCAAATGCTTTATCCTTCTTGTACTGTCGATACCATTTTCTCTCCACAACCACTGATCCCTGTTACATGCAAAACGGTATTCTACATTACATATAATACACATAATATCAGAAAGTAGTGGCATTTCAAAACAAGAGTTACATAATGTCTTTCATGATCAGTGGCATTTAGAAGTTGTACATTGATGTCCAAGATATTTTTATGGATTAAAAAAATTAAAAATTAAAAAAGAAGTTTAATCCATAAAAATATCTTGGACAAGAGTTACATACCTTAGCAGTCTCACAATCTGCTGACTATGGAACCATCAATTCCCAAATCTCACAGAGTATAGTCGAATTTCAACTTGATTTAATAAAATGCCAATACTTTTTTTATAACAGGGATTTGGGGTGAGAACATAGGTGGAAACAACCAATCCTGGCCACAATGGGAAACAAAATGGTTTAGGTGGTCAGCCTCGGTCAGTTGGACAACATGGATTATTGTTTACAACATCAATCATTGAATTGTCTGGTCCAGATTTGATCATTTACAGGTCACTGTCATCCTACCGGAATATTGTTGAATGTGGCATTAAACAACAACCTCAAATAGAAATATATTCCCTTAATAGCATGAGGCATTATCACAAATATCTTTACCCCAAAATCTTGATTTAAGAAACATTGCACAAATTTTGAAAGTATACATAGTGATTTTACTTATTCACTACTATATCTCACTACACTTTATGCCAGGTAGATACAGCTAATGGGCAAGCAAACATCTATAATTCAAGATACCATTTTCTTGATTGCCATCACAAGAACCGATTCTCTAAGTAATTTTAACCTTTACCTCAGAAGATAGAAGATGGAAATGTCCAAACACAGGCACTGGTTTTGGTCCTTTCACGCCAAGTTTCTTGAATACGCCAAATTTGCGAGTCATGTACCTGTTGGCCAACAAAGTGAAGGTGAGAGAAATGGGGTTATTGTACTTATATATCAACATGCATAACGTCTGTGGGTGTGAGGTGGTGGTAGAGGTAGTGGTTGCGAGCATAATGGTGGTAGTTGCTGTTGTTGGTTTGTCTCTTAACGCCGCTTTCAGCAATATTCCAGCTATATGGAGTAAGCCTGTAAATAATCAAGTCTGGACCAGACAATCCAGTGATCAATAGCATGAACATCAGAACTACATTTGACATTTTTAATTATTTTTACACAGGAAAATTTCAACAGTGACTTCTTTTACCCTAATTCACATAATACAGCATTTAGCTACCCTGGTCTATCCAATAAGTGGTTCATTATTTTATACAACATAATAAGTTACATAAATTATTTTTCAGATATCAACATGTTAATGTGATCATGGTTACATTTGCTGCTTAATTTCACTAACAACATTTCATTCGCACAAAATTTGTAAATTTTTACCATGTTAACTACACATTTTGTACAAATAAAATCAAGTTTGATTTTCCAGTAAGGCCAATTGATTATTGATATTGCTGAGAATATAGAAGAGGTATTTGAAGTTGACAATATGTGTTTATAGGGAAAAGACTGCCTAACAAATTATCAATAAAACGTTAACTTACAAAACATATGCAATGGTTAGACCCACTCCACACAGTGACATGTACAAAAGGCCCATCCAGATCCCCATTGTGACCGCAATGAGCTTTCTCAGACAGATGACAGCAGGAAGAGTTGTTGGAGCAAAGTCAGCGTTTTGTTCAGCTGGAAAACCTCCCCATGACGTTCCTCGACCACTGGAATGATGATAAAAATCTGTAGGTTTTATACATTTAAAACGACCCTGACCTCTGATATGACGCAAAGGTTAAATGCATTTCAAAATACGATAAAAGCCTGTTGTACATAGCGCTATCTGAAGTGTCAGTGACACTGTCACCGGTTTCTGGGTCACAGTAGTACAGCAATAACACGACCGGGATCTTATGCTAGCCTAGAGGAACACGCCCTTGCAATCTCCGGGGACAGCATACCGACATATGATACTGTCCCTGAATTTTACCATTCACATCAATTATCAGCTGCCAATTGAGACAAATCGAGAATCCGCGTACCGTGTACCTTCAGTTACATGGCAGATGACGCTGATAACCTTGTCATCCACTTGGCCAACGGTGTCGATGTTGACCGCGTTACTATCACCTCAGCGACAAATTAACGCTACTGTGTAGTTTAGTAACGGTCAAAGGGAGATAACTTTGAATTAATCTAAATCCATAAAATCTGGTCTAAGTCGCCCTTACCAGAGACTATCTCTATTATATGGTCTCTAAGCTGGAAAGTATCGAGTCCAGAGAAACTCATATAAAAACTGGACAGTATTACGTACTTCGAGACTCGACAGTGTTATTTTATATATCACATTAAAAAGGGAAGAAATACAGAAATAGCATAACCATCAAAACTTCATATGAAGCTATTATTCTTACGGCGCAGTAACAATTTGTGATGTCATGAACAAATGGTAACGTCAGATCATTTCGTTCAAAACTATGCAGAAATGTGACGTCATATCTGACCAATCAAGATTTAAAAAATCGATAAGACGCAAACGTGTATATATTGATAGGGATAGAAAGGAATGAATAGAGGATATTATAATCGTGCCCATGTCATACTATGTTTACGACATGCGTGCCTAAATGTTGGTATTTCCCGAGCGAGAGCGAGGGATACACCGATATTTAGGCACGAGTGTCGTAAACATAGTATGACATGGGCACGATTATAATATTCTGTTTATTACCGAATTCGTCAAATTGAGGAAAATAAACCCAAATCTACTTTCAAACACAGGCTGGCTACCCACCGTCGCCGCACGTAGAACGCAACGTCACAGAAGAAACGTGACGTAATAGCATTGTTCATGACGTCACGTCATCTTGACAAAGTGATAGTTTGCCCTAGGGCATCGTATGAAATATATGAACCCCGATATGTTCGCCCTCGTAGGTAATAAAACTCGATATTTTAAGCACCACAAAATGTAAGTCTTATTACCCATGGGTTAGAACTATTGTTCATAAAATTGTATCTAAATGTGCAAATGTCACTGAACCCGTACCATTGTATGGTAACGTCATCCATGCGGCATTGTTTACGTCATTCGAATGTTATTTGTGTCGGAATGACGTCATGTTAGAAAACGACGTCTTAGCTGAAGATAGTTGACGTCATTCGACATTTCATTCGTGGTCAGTGCATTTTTCTGAAGAGGATCCTAAAACTTATGTTTGTTTGTTGGTTGAAGTGATGGTACTGCTGGATTGGTTGGTTGGTTTGTTATTTAATGCTGCACTGAGTAATATTCCAGCTATATGGCGGCGGTCTGTAAATAATCGAATCTGGACCAGACAATCCAGTGATCAACACCATGGACATCGTCTACGCAAGTGGGACACGATGACATGTGTCAGCCAAGTCCTCAAACTGACCACCTGATCCCGGTAGTCGCCTCTTACGACAGCAATAGGTTATTGAAGACAAATTCTCTGACTGAAACATCTACATCAAACATCAAGCTATTTGAGAAAAGGTCATGACTGAGTGCTGGTGATGATATCACATGCATGTTTTGCTGTTGCGCGAATGGCACAACGAGTGGAGCAATGATGTTTTCCCGTTAGTACTGAGTGGTGACTCTGACATGGACAATATGGCCAGTCGGCCTGTCATTGTGATACCATTACTGAAACTCTACCGAAACGTCATGGTATATGTCGTTAACGTCCATGAAACGTTCATTGGGACGTCTCCAAACTCGACTTCTTCTTTTCGTGTAAGCCCAATAGATTGCAAAGCTATATATTTAGATAGTATTAAGGACTTGTCCAACCTTTTTAGCAACAATCATGTGTAAGCCCGGGCTTTTTTTTATAATGGTAGCTACGCCCCTGTTCGGCCATGAAGTCGAGAGTGAACCTCGATTTGCCAGGAAACATGTCATAACCCCAACGTCAATTATCGCAGTGCTTACGTTCCAGACACCACTGACGTCTCTGACTCAAATGACGTCCAGTATGTTGTGGGGCGACACGTGGACATTGTACACGCCATCTGTGCTGACGATGTTGCACCGTCAGGGCATGTACTCTTACACCAGTTGCAGCAGGTCACCCGTGAAGATCCGGGTACGAATTGATCTTCAGTAACCCATGCTGTCGTAAGAGGCGACTAGCGGGGTCGGGCGGTCAGGCTTGCTGACTTGGTTGTCATCATATCCCAATTACGTAGATCGATGCTCATCTGTTGATCACAGGATTGTCTGGGGAGACTCGATTCTTTACAGACCGCTGCAATATAGCTGGAATATTGCTGAGTAAGGTGTTAAACAACAAACCAACCAACCCTTGCGTTGGAGGGCATGGCAGTTCATCAGCCGCTCCCTCGATGCCATCGTTCTGACTAAGTGAGTGAGTATGGTTTTACGCCGCTTTTAGCAATATTCCTGTAATATCACGGCGGGGGACACCAGAAAATGGCTTCACACATTGTACTGCTGGGAATATGTGGGGAATCGAACCCGGGTCTTCGGCGTGACGAGCGAACGCTTTAACCACTAGGCTACCCCCACCGCCCCCGTTCTGACAAAGACAAATCTTCCCTTGGTTGGAGTCAGAGCGGTGTCGTCCATCCACATTATGTTTTTTATGGTATCCGGCGCACAATCAGCTGATGGTAGATAGAGGATATGACACAACACAATTCTGAGGTGTGCCCACCTGCAACATGAATGTGACTTATACATGTTAGGATGATCAATAATGCTAGTTCCCCAAGGAATAACTATTTTTAATAAATAGGCTCTTTCGTTCTAAGAAAACAGTATGCGCCTGACCATAACCTCATAACCTCGTCTGAGCTAGAATGGTAAATCTGGCAAATCAACCCCGCCTGTGCTATCCGAGATGACTATCACAATGTTTCGTTTTGGAACTTGCTTTCTTCCGAAATGTTCTCCCACACAAATCATTGTAAGGTGTTGGGTATGTTCATGTAGTTACGTCTCAAATATCCCCCCACCGTTCTAAACAGTATTTTCTGCTGGTTATCTTTACACACTCAGAGACAGAATCAACATGTACAATATTTATAATGAATGAAAATCGTCCTTTTACATAAATAGGTGTTATCTATTGCCACAGTTGCTATTAATATGACATATCTGCCATATTTAGTACAATAAATGCCCCACATACCTTATCTGTACTTTGAAGTCGTGATCTGGGTAAAGGGCCTATATGAGCTATCTTTTCCACGTAGGTCACAGTGTAGTGCCTTGTCGTGGATTATGGCTACCTTTTTAATACGTCTGTTATATATTGGTAAGCAGTAACTCTTCGATTTTCCATTTTAAAAGGATGTACCATTCTGATGTTTGATCATTTGGTATCAGTTATTGGTACACGCATTTCCATAAATGATCTCATGTTTTCTATGGTGTACAGAACCCAGTCAAGTGTTTTTGCTTTACGCTGCACTAAGCAATGTTCCAGCTATATCACGGAGGGCTGTTTAAAATAGTCAAAACAGTCATTGATACAATGAGCAACGAACCTTACCATCGAGCCTGACCATTGGATCCATTTTAATCCTACTTTATCACCAGTATATGCTGCTTGGGACATATTTTCACCTGCATTCCCCCCAAGAAGTAGTTCAACTGTTTAACATCACTCACACACGCACGTGCGCATAATAACTTTCTTTTCATCAACAATAATCCGTTAATGTTTTTATGTTTCATGTTCTCCAGCAACGATTAGCCAGTCTCTAACAGTATCTGACGGTAGGTGTATACTTATCTATTTTATTTGTGCGGAGTGTGACACTGTTGTGTTTACGACCTCAACTAACAGTGAAACAATCTCACCCAAGACAACGTGCGTGAGTGAGTGAGTGAGTTCTGTTTACCACCGCATTGGACTGTATTCTAGTTATATCAGGGCGTGTCATCTCATGAGGGAGGAAAGCCCAAGATGATGCCGGTCTCCGACTTTTACCATTTTGGTGAACCCACAAGCATATGGATATGTCCAATGGCTTGTCAATTAGGTTCAATATGGAATTAATTTTTAGCACTGCTGTAAACTCAAACCTCACGGACCGACTATTTTGTTAATATCCATTACTTCAAGTCATACTTTAGATGGAAGAGATGTACTTTTTTGCCACGACATAATTTTATGTGTGCGTGCGTGCGTGCGTGCGTGCGTGCGTGCGTGTAAAATGTGAAGAAGCATGTTTTTTAGTTTGTGTTATCCCCGGAACGCAAAAAAACATAACCAGTCATTATGCAGTGTGATAGGAATATACGATCTGTGTCATTTTTAATTCCACTTACATAGAGAATCTCACCCAAGTGTCTACTGATATCAATTATATCAACACGAGTTCATAAAGTTACAAATGGTTTTACTTTTATCAAAGAGTGTTGATATATTTGATATCAGAAGGCACTTTTCATTAGGTTTTCCATGAGGGTGAGATTCTATTTATTATAAAAAATCACTTTTCATTAGTTTTCCATTAAAAATGTACATCTCTGAACATGGTACTGCCATTACGCTTGCATCGCAGCGATGTCATAGCATTGTGACGTCATCAAGTTTATGACGCCATAGCCTGTGATGTCCACCAGATAACACACCTCTCTGTTTACAGGAAACCAGGCACCTGTTAGTTGTGAGGTATGTGACGTCACAGATTCCGATTGCGTCAAGGGCGGAGCACGCACTGTTTGTGACGTCACACAGCAATACTGTCTTACAGAAGTGACAGACACATTGGCTGGAGATCGAACGGTGGGCAGAAAGTAAGTATTGTACTCTAATGTCACTTTAGTTATACTCCCAGCAATACAGTTTTACATAATAGAAAACAGAGTATACGAGCAAAGTTTGTCTTTGGAACTTAAATGTGATTCAGACTGTAGAGTACACGAGAGTTAACATGGTAGAACATCAACATTTATAGAACAAAAAAATGCAACCACAATAGCCAAATATTTACCATTTGCAGATGTGTTGACGCAACAGAATGTGAACAGAAATTCGCAGTGACTGAAGAGAGGTTATTTTGCTATGAAGTAGACATGGGCAATCTAAGGGCTGATGTCACGTGTAGCTTCTGTTGCCAGGGCGACCTGTGTAACCAAGGGCCAGATTTGATCCCTCCGGCACAATTTCTGTATAACGGAGGTTCGTTTTTAAAAAACATATATACCATGTAAAGGATGTTATACTTGAGAATACAGTAACACTGTTTCAGTAAAGTAGAAATTCTAGTACTTTTCTGGGTTGAGTCTCCGGGATGCGGACCTACATTCTCAGGGTGAGGCACCAACTCGTCAACAAACAAAGTGAGCGATTTAACCCATTCAGCCTCAAAGATGGAAGTCTGACAACTAGTTGTCAAGATTTGTGTATCCCACTGACAAGTGTCAACTGGTACTGACTCAACCCAAAACAGCACTAAAATATGTATTTACGGAGAAAGTGTAATCAAACATATATCATATGTGCGTTACATCTGGCGCACATCTAATGGCATTGTGCAGTCATACTTACAGATGAAACATGTTTTGTAATATACTATAATACATATAAATTGATAACCGTTCAAGTTCCATCCAGCCCTGTGTTTTTGCGAGGATTTAAGATGAAAAAATATTGTTTTTGAGATGACCCCCGACTCAAAAAAGCTTCACAGTACAATACATCATGACGTCAGTACGTATTGTACTGTGAAGCATTTCGTGTCGGGGGTCATCTCAATTTTTTATATATTTTTAAAAAATCTTTAATCCTCGCAAAGACACGAGGGCCTGTGGTTCCATCAAGTATTACGGTCTCCTTTACTTTATTAAAATACTGTATTAAAATGTTTTGCATGAATGGCTCTTATAACTTCCGATTTCTCTGAACAGATCTAAATGTCACCGGACCATCAACACCCAGTGTGTTGCCAAGCCAACCAACAGTAATGACGTCATCAATTACCGATTCATCAACCCTTAGTCTGACAACGATGCCAGTCGGTTTGTTAACAACTTGCTTTTTTGATTGAAATAATTGTTTTAATTAGTTGATTGATGAATATTTGAGGCACACAATGATATATTTTGAAACAGGTCATATACTGAAATGAGATTTTAATTTTGTGTGTGTTAATCAAGCGCAAAAGATTGCCTCCCCTGATGTCCTCTCCAATGGTATGGAAACCGTGAGGTCGACAACAATCATTATCATACACAATCTATCGAAAAACACCTAGTTCCCCCAAAATGTAATGTCAACAGATTGGGATAAGGCAATTATCTTTTGGTTTTACTTTCAGACATGTGTGAAGTTTGTGACGTCACAGATCCCGACTGTTTCCACGGTGGCAGGCCAACGTCATGTGACGAGGACCATTCCTTCTGTATGACAACCATCCATGATAATTTTCCTAACAACATGACCGTCAGTAGAAGGTGTGTGTCTTAACAATCACGGCGGTAGGGAGAAGCCAACACATTTAAAGTAAACGAGGGACCAGCATGTTAAAAGCGAATGTCACAATGGAAATACGTTGCTAACATAAAATAAGGGAATTCCGCGATATTGTATATTTCCCCAGCTGCATTAACGCCTTACAACGAACGTTCTAAACTACGCATCGCCACCATATAGCTGGAATATTGCTGAGTGAGGCGTACAACTAAACTCACTCCAAACTAAACATATCCTATACAACGACTACCGTGGTAGCCAAGGCCCCGGTGAAGCTTTCAAATAGTGCTGGATATTGCCCTGATTCTCATATTGCGATATATTGCAATAACTTAAGAGATATTGCAATATATTGTATATGCTTCTCCATAAAAAAATCATCACCCCCAAGCCATAAATTATGAGCGTTCCCTTAATTCCTCCAAAATGTCACATATGAAACAATTCAAACCCACAAAACGTAACGCATTTGGTAGAATATTTGGCACATTTGGAGCCACTTATAAAGATACTCCCACTTGTAAAATGTAACATGAAACCAACATAAATAAAAGTATATTTGGCACTTTTAGAGCACATTTATTTGCTTGGAAATCAAAGGCAGATAATGCAAAGGGAACTAACTCTGGATGACCCAATATATTGCAGAATCTGAACCATATCGCGATAATCGTATCGCGAGATACTGTACCGGTATATACCGGTTTACCGGTAATATTGCACAGCCCTACTTTCAAAAATATATTTTTTATCCGGAGAACAGTTTCAGTGACAAAATGGTTTCCGATGTATTTCTGTATTGCGACCTGTTCCTGCGTTTTCCCTTGTTCAGGTAAATAGTTGACTAGCCTTTGCATGTGTTTGTGACGGGTGCCTGCGGATACACTCACATTTTAGTGATCACCTGTAAGTAACTATTTGATAGTGATTCAAAAACACATGCTCACGATTAGAACAGTATGGTCGACTCTGCATTTAGCAGAGATTTCTTGTGGATGTAGAAAGGGTTTTGTCGGTTTCATTTTGTCTGTTTAAAGTTGTACCCGGTATTTCTTCAGCTGCGTGAACGAGTCTGTGTGCTACGAAAAGTGGTACATGGAGACTTCATGGCGTCACTACTGTTACGACATCGACCAGGGCGAACTATACTTCCCCGTCGACTGCAACTTCTGCTGTGTTGGGGACCTCTGCAACGCCGGACCTACCCTTGTACCGTCTCCTGAAACACTTTACCGTTAGTCACACCTGCCAATACGTGGCTAGTACTTTCTTCAATGTGAATATTTATTTTAGTTATTTTTGGGCGGTGGGGTGGCCAAAAGGTAAAGAGTTCGCTCGTCACGCCGTGTTCGATTACCCGCATGGGTACAATGCGTGAAGCCCATTGCTGGAATATTGATAAAAGCAGCGTAAAACTCGCTCGACGACAAGATATAATGAGATAATAACTAAACTGATTATAGTTGAACCCTTACGAACATATGACGAACGCTACTTCATTTCTTTTACGGGGCGGTGGGGTAGCCTAGTGGTTAAAGCGTTCGCTCGTCACGCCGAAGACCCGGGTTGGATTCCCCACATGGGTACATTGTGTGAAGCCCATTTCTGGTGTCCCCTGCCGTGATATTGCTGGAATTTTGCTAGAAGCGGCGTAAAATCCCACTCACTCACTCATTTCTTTTACAGAGCCAAAGGTTGTGCCAACTGTATTGGGCACGACCTCATCATCTGTTGTAATTTCCGAGGGATCGTCAACCACGTCTAACGGTTTGACAGTTCCCGTCTCAGTCCTACCCACTTGGATCTACAACAGATGTTTTGACTGAATCAATACCTCCAAGTACACAAGAGTTTAGCACAGATAGTCCTTCAAAAGCAAGCACAGATGGTTCGACGAGCCCAACATCTCCAAATACACAAGGATTGAGTTCGGATTATTTCACGGGATCAACGCCTTCAAGTCCACAGGGTTCGAGCACAGGTGATTTGACAGGTCCAACATCTCAAAATCCACAAGAATCGAGCACAAGTGGTTTAACGGGTCCAACACCTACAGGGCCATTAAGTTCGAGCATAGATGGTTTGACAGGTCCAACCAGTTCAGGTTCACAAGGATCGAGCACAGGTGGTTTAATGGGTCCAACGCCTTCAAACCCACAAGGTCCGAGCACGGATTATGTCACGGGTCCAACGTCTTCAGGTCCACAAGGTCCGAGCACGGATTTTGTCACGGGTCCAACGTCTTCAGGTCCACAAGGTCCAAGCACTGATTATGTCACGGGTCCAACGTCTTCAGGTCCAAAAGGTCCGAGCACGGATTATGCCACGGGTCCAACGCCGTCAGGTCCACAAGAATCGACCTCGGATGGTTCGACTAGTCCAGAAGGATCGAGTCCTGGAGGCAGCATAGCAACATACGTCACACAGCCGACAACTGTGTCCACTACGGAAAAGCATAGTGAGTCGTTGAAGTCTTTTTTTTATCGATTGTTGAGATAAGTCAAGACATTGCTTCCAAAGTTATGATTGTATTGGTTTTCGTATTTGACAAATCATAGATTTATTGACTTTGTATGATATTGTTTCTTATGATGTCTTTCTGAGGTATGTCAGTGGACGAGTGCATGGCCATTACTAAACCACTTTTCAATTATCTCGTAGGAAATTTACATAGTTACATGAACCCTTTAATTGTCATGGATAATCATAAGGACACGTTCTGACATAATTCATACATTGAAATGACAATAATCCACATGTCAATATTGTACTGGAAAATGTATGGCTATGGACTGAGGACAGGGTTGACCACATTCAGTATTATAGATTATATATCTTAATGTACAATATAAGCATTTCCACCCCAGCAATCTGCGAGGTGTGTGACGAGTCCGATCCAGAATGTTTCACTTCCGGTACGCCGACACGTTGTGACCTTGAGGAATCGTACTGCATGACCACCGTCCATGACAACTACCCCTCCAACATGACGGTCAGCAGGGGGTGAGCGCACCTGTCTACAATATATAAAATATCTACCAAACACATGGAAAATACTTGATTGTGATTGGTAAACCTGGGATTGATACAGTTAACATGCAAGATGGGGTATGTCTTGAAGTCTGCGATAGTGTAGTTAAGATCAAAATGTCTCCTTCACCTTTCAGTGGACGAAAATATATTGTGGGAAAAAATAAGGGATCACATGAAAGCACAGTTGTTTTTTTCCAGGCTTCATTACAAGTTATGCGATACAAAGCTTGCGAAGAAACCTGGGAAAACACATAAAGGAACGCTTGTGCTTTTTTCACCTCAGTACGTGTATATCTGATGTAGTGGCTTAAACTGCATTGAACAATCACATTCTATGCTTCCTCGCCTTCATGGACGAATATGCGTTATATGACACCATGTACGGTATCTTCACACCTCTAGGAACCAGCCCGTGATAGACAGACATTACATTTCCTGAGGGGTTTGTTTGTTGAATATGCAATATTCTAATAAGCTAATATCTGTATTCCATAAGCTTATCAAACTTAAGTGTATTTTGTAACCTTACGCCCTGTATTTCTCCAGCTGCGTGAACGAGTCTGTGTGCTACCAAAAGTGGTACATGGAGACGTCATGGCGTCACTACTGCTACGACATCGACCAGGGCGAACTATACTTCCCCGTCGACTGCAACTTCTGCTGTGTTGGGGACCTCTGCAATTCTGGCGCTCTTGTCCCTAATCCCGACACACTGTATCGTAAGTTGTAATCGACAGTATCTGTGAATACTGCCTTGAAATTATTTTACGAATTAGCATATTTAACGCACATGTGATACCAATGTGAAAATACCTGAATTAACTTCTGATTGGATCACGGTCTTGTTCAGGGCCCCGGCAGGAACTACGGAAGGTAGCACCGTCCCAACAGCATCGTCTTCACCCAACCCTGCGACGGCACCATTCTCGACGGACACAAGTATGACGACACCATCCACAACGTCTGTGTCAACAACGGAAAAACACAGTAAGTGATGGCGTAACCTGCCGTGAAGATGAAACCGAAATACCCCACAGGTACACGTTGATGGGTAATGGCACAGTAGTGAATATTTTCAGATGCACAAACATTATGCATCTTTGTGTTTTCTCTTCATAAACAATGAGAAATATGTTACATGATGTGTTCCAAATTATAAGGAACTTTGCCAGTTGTTATTTTCCATCTTTGAATCCAGGGGATAAAGTACTGTGAATGTGGGGTGGATAAGATATCCTTGGAGTGTTATGTATGCTCTCTTTGTACGCAGGTGAGCACGGGCCATGGTAGGCAAAGTGTCAAAACCCAGGTCATTCGTGTAGCAGAGATGCGTTTTCGGTCTTGTCTAGATGTTCAGATTCGGTTTACCAATATTTTATTCGATCTGTTAATGATCGTTTGTTTTCCCAGCGCCCTACCCTTTGCTTGAGGGTTTCACCAAAGTCGTAGGCGTTTGAGACCTGCATCTCTTTACGATGCCCTCACACATTGAACTGATGCGACGATTCAGTTTCCCTTTCTGAAAATGACTAAAGACCACATTGAAGTGAATGTTTTTCAGTGGCAGAGCCAAGGTGGGGTTCAGGGGGTTCGAACCCCCTGAAACCCCACTCGCCCCCTTTGAAAATTTCTGGATCCGCCTGTGTGATTAATCATTAAAAAATGTTAATAAAATCACAGTTAAACCGAAATTTCTCTTTCTACTATGACGAAGGTAGGATACATGTTTTACATACATCAAGATTCCTTGTCAATTACGATGTAGTACATGTATAACCGAGAGTTCTCTCTTTGACATTTTCTCCCCAGCAATCTGCGAGGTGTGTGAAGAATCCGATCCAGAATGTTTCACTTCCGGTAGACCGACAAGTTGTGACCTTGAGGAATCGTACTGCATGACCACCGTCCATGACAACTACCCCTCCAACATGACCGTCAGCAGGAGGTGAGCGCACCTGTCTACCGTATATTTAATATTCTACCTTGAATTTCTGAGACATTCGATTGTGATTGGTGAGACAGGGGTTTCAAATCACAATGACAGCCTGTATTGAAAGAGCTGACATATGCCACAGATGAACCTCCAAGACTGCGGCAGTGCATTCATAGTCTTCATATTTCTCGAGCTGATTGAACAGGTCGGTGTACAGTCACACTCTACATTTCCCCAACGAGCAGTCTAAGTAAACTTAGGCTCAGTATTATTCGTTACACTGCTATACTGAGTCTAACAAACCCTAGTAGAAAGTCGCGTCAGCTAACCTTTTGGACTGACCAATCAGAACACAGCTTACCAAATCGCGAAAGTTAACACTCGCACATACCGTTTGAACCTTTACCTAAACAACTCGAACGATTCCGAATGCTATTTTCCGCACGATCGCTTCCCAGTGATACACATGGAGGACGCAATGAGTAAACAGTAGTTGAAAATAGCATTTTTGTCAATATTCAAGGATGTCATCTTGCGGAAATATAAACTAATAGTAACCATGTCATTAGAAACCCATAAGCGTAATATACTGCGGGTCAAATATATGTGATTTATGCGGATTTATAGGCTCTCAAAGGCTAGCTGACGCGACCTTCTACTAGGGTTTGTTAGACTCAGTATAGCAGTGTAACGAATAATACTGAGCCTAAGTTTACTTAGACTGCCCCAACGTGTTTAGTGTGTGTGATATAACGGTATATCTTGTATTTCCCCATTTATATCCTGTATTTTCCTGTATTTCCCCAACTTCGTGAACGAGTCTTAGTATGTGTGATATAACGTTATACCTTGTATTTCTCCAGCTGCGTGAACGAGTCTGTGTGCTACCAAAAGTGGTACATGGAGACGTCATGGCGTCACTACTGCTACGACGTCGACCAGGGCGAACTATACTTCCCCGTCGACTGCAACTTCTGCTGTGTTGGGGATCTCTGCAACTCTGGCGCTCTGGTCCCTAATCCCGACACACTGTATCGTAAGTTGTAAAATACCTACCACACAAATATGTCAAAACATCCCCTAGACAAGAAATGGATGAAATGGACAAAATTATCGATCCATTTAAAATATATTCTAAAATCGTATTAGATTTCGATGGTACGGTTTAATCTGTGTCATAATATACTCTCCCAAAAAAGAAACGCATATATGAATTTCAACTGTATTTTTATGTCTATTTTGAAACATCTTGTAGGCTTTATGAGTCAATGAAATATAGCGAAATTGCACACTTGGAATGCAGACCTATCCGTCTTTGGCACCAACTCGAGGAAAGTCAGTTTGAGTGTCACATGGAGACATGTGGTGGCGCTGAAGTCAATACCTCGTGTGACCACCGTTGGCATCCAGAACTGCACGGCATCGCCTCGGCATCGAACGAATAAGTCTCAGAATCTCGTGTTGCCCAATCGCAGCCCGCTGAAGTGTCTGGGGCTGAGGGTTACGGCGTCGCACCCGTCTGTCCAGGGCATCCCACAGATGTTCGATCGGGTTTAAGTCCGGTGATCTTGAGGGCCTGGGCATTGATGTTATGGTTCTGGAGGAAGTCTCTAGTGTGACGTGCTGTGTGGGGCCTGGCATTGTCCTGTTGAAACAACTCCCTCTGGCGATCAATGATTGGAAGGAGGTGTGGGCGTAGGATTTCGTCACAGTACCGTTGAGCTGTCAGGTTGCCCTGGATCATCACCAAATCACTTCTCCTACGGCAGGTGATCTCCCCCCACATCATAACACTGTCCCGGCCGAATCTGTCCACCTGGGGAACGCAAGCGTCGGCGACACGTTCACGTCGACGTCTGTACACCCGCATTCTTCCATCGCGTCGTTACAATAGAAATCGTGATTCATCATTGAACCAGATTCTACGCCAATTCGGTAGGTTCCAGGCCTGAACGTTGGTGCACCATTGAACTCGATGTCGACGATGTTGTTGTCGAAGCACAGGGCCAATATAAGGTCTTCTGCCATGTACACCAGCCTTCTCTCAACCTGTTCCTGACGGTCTGTGCAGAAAGCCTCCTCAATCCGGGTATTTGTCGAGCGGTACTGGTCGCCGTAGCTGTTCGATGACGCAGGTGACGTACCCGGATGTAGCGATCCTGCGCCGCAGTGGTCGCTCGAGGTCGCCCACTACGAGGGGCATCTGCTACCGCATTCTGCCGGCGATATCTCTCCCAGAGCCGTGAAATGGTGCTTTGGTGAACATGCATGCATGCGTCGGGCAACTGCACGTTGAGACTGGCCAGCTTCAAGCAAACCAATGGCGATATGACGGTTGGCTTACCTTAGACGTGGCATTTTGCGTTCTTCAACAATATTCCAAATACAGGGAATAATCGACAGACAGCGATCAACCTTTTATACCCATCATTGAGACTATCTGATCCCCAACTTTCACGTGCATTGCATGTGAATTGTGTATTTTGTGACACTACACGCCGAAATTGAAAATCATGCTGTTAAATACGGGTATTTTACGGATGGTGCGTTTTGTTGTGATGTTTCAAAACATAAACACCATAGGACTCATAAACAGAGCAAAACCTTTTGTAAAATGAATCACGTTTTAATTCATTGCTACATGAAATTGCTATTTTCATGATGCGTAACTTTCTTTTTGGGAGAGTATACATTTCCCACCCATTATATTGCGCAACTGGAAGAAAGGACTTCAAGACATGCTAATATCTTAATGCGAGAAACATACATTCATGACAGGGGGACAATTGATTCATGAATTGCTCGATGAAATAGATGCAAGTATTCATGTCTTTGCGTAAAATGGATACATTCTCTCTGTATGTTGGTACGAATAATTATGGATCCCTTCATGTCTTATAAGGTCCCCCTGAACCCACAAACGCCACCGACCTATCTACGTCTTCAGAGACCCAAGACACACCAACTCCAACAGTGCCGACGACTCCACACATTGGTAAATTGTCCGATACGCTGTTCCTCTTGCCGTGCGTATCGACTGTCTGTGTATTCGCCACTCTCTTCACCCTATTCCTCCAGCCATATAGAACAAGCGGGGGGACAGCCTAGTGCTTTAAGTGTTTGCTGGTCACGCCAAAGACCCGAGTTCGATTCCCCACATGGGTACAATGTGTGAAGCCCATTTCTAGTGTTCCCCGGCGTGATATTGCTGGAATATTGCTAAAAGCGGCGTAACACTAAACTCACTCACTCACTCTAGTCGTAACAGAACAAGCGGGGGCGTATTAGTTCAGTCTCTTATCCTGTTCGTCGCTTAGTGTGTGCGTCATGAAGTTGCGTAAGCATTAGAAACCTTTTCGTGTGCCTCAATCAACGTGTGATGTATAGGTGTGTATTCATTTCCCTTCTCAAGCCTCTAGATATGTAACCTGTGAAGATCCGGGTTAGAATTGGTCTTCAGCAATCCATGCTTGTCGTAAAAGGCAACTAACGGGATCGGATGGTCAGGCTCGCTGACTTGGTTGACATGTCATCGTATCCCAATTGCGTAGATCGATGCTCATGCTGTTGATCACTGGATTGTCTGGTCCAGGCTCGATTATTTACAGACCGCCGTCATTTAGCTAGAATATTACTGAGTGAGGCGTAAAATAGCAAACCAAACCAACCAAACAACCTCTAGGTAAGTTGTACTTATTAATCCTTTTCCTGTTCCCCAAGCCGTGTGTGACGTTTGCAGTCGGGATGACCTCGGGTGTGTTCGTGGAGGTCGCCCTACCCTGTGTGACCCGGACAGACCATACTGTCAAGTCACTGTGTATGAAGACAATCGCTTTACCCAGTATGCCGAAAGAAGGTAACAATGATTCAGATGTGTTATGCTAAGATTATATAGGGGTGAAGGGGACATATGTCATTAGTTATTGGAACTGAGCTTGCAGGGATGATCACTATCAATATTCATCGTTTTCAACAAATGACCATTGGAAACAATTGGTCCATATTCAGTGTATTTCTGACCTGTGTTCGTGTAAGACTTATTCCAAAATAGGGAAGCGGGAGTATACATCAACCAAATATCTGTATGTCGAATCGGGGCGCCGCGTTGGGTAGCCTTGTGGTTAAAGCGTTCGCTTGTCACGCCGAACACCCGGTGTTGATTCCTCAGATGTGCTACACTGTGTGAAGCTTAGCGGGAGAAAAACTCAACCCACTCACTCACTACATGTAGAATGAAATGACACATTGTAGTTGCTTGAATGTCCTTGGCCTGTTTTCCAAACAATTCTAAGCAATATTACTGGTAGGTCCTGATTAAGTTTCAGAGTAGTCTTTTATATGTCCTGACAGTCAGGGAGGAGAATGTTATTACGCTTGGTAAAAATAACGTAAAAATCAAGTCTGACTAACGTAATTGCAAAACAGTATGAACTGCTCTCTGCATCATAATTTGAATATTTATTGATTAATTTTTACGCAAATGACATGATAACTAATAGTCTGTATGAGTCCCTGAACCACATTATTTTCCCTCCGCCCAGCCTATTCTGCAATGCAAAAAGCCGTACATAAAGCAAGTCTAGATTATCCACGTTATCACAGTTGCCTAGGTCTCTTATTCAATTTAAATGGAGTTAGTTTAGTCAAATTATTCATATTCAGAGGCACACTCCGGCACAGCGATGACTAACATAACAGTACTATGCTGGCTTGCCGCATGGAACTCTTGGAAGGAGAGTGATTCAGAGGCCATGCGTTTGTCAAGATAACAGTCTCAATGGTCTTTAGATTCAAAGTATAGGGCAAAACAGTGATGGAAATTACGTTTTATGCAGAGTTTTCTCAGATGTCAGAGGTAGGGATTGGTAAATATGGCAGATGTTGTTTGTGTATAAAGATTCAAATGAATCCTGACACATTGATCTGGCCTCCCACCTGACGACCAACAGGACATTCCTGTATTTATCATGCCAAATACTTGCAATCAGATAGTCTCCTATAGTCTACTAGTGTACATACATATCAATGTTCGGATTATCGTCGACAGCCTTTTCAACAAGTTGCCGGTGTTTCGTTGCATGTACCCGTGCTTAGAGCATCAGAACCGTTATCAAACATTCGCATCTTGGCTATTCCTAAGTGTTCGTCAAGATGAATCAATATCCAGGCACATCGATCACCACTCGAGGGTCAAATGCGTAGCGGGCGTCAGATTGGTGTCTATACAACAACCGAGAATATATTGTCTGAACCGAATGAAATAAGGTGATTTTAAATTATTATTTCATGACCACTTATATAGCGCTGAACCTCACACTGACGGACATGTTTTAAGCGCATACCCCATGATGGACATTAATACCCTTCATAACCCAAGCTGGCTGTGAGACGCTGGAAGGTTAATAGTCCCATTTTCTGCTGGATGAACAGAGTTTTTGAACAAACTCACTTGCCTAAGGTGAGACCATATGCTTCGTTGTGGGGCAGGATGGAAGTCCTAGAGACTCTCAAGCTGCCAAAGACGGTCACCCATCCAAGTATTCTCCGTTGCTTAACATCATATTTCTGACCTGCGCCCTATGCACAAGACCATACACCACCATTTAGGCCTAAGGAAAAGCTACCATTACTACAAAGTTTATTGGGTATAGTTGTAGAACAATTCTTCAACTCACGTCAACCATAATAACCATTTCTACCATACATGTGTAGTGTAGCTATGTAATATCTTTGTATATATAATGGTTGGTTTTGGTTTGCCAGCTGTGCTGATCTCAACACGTGTGTGAAGGACTGGATCAATCACACTTCTGGGCGGCCATACTGTTTGGAAGTGGACAAAGGGCCACTGTTTTATCCCAATTACTGCAGCTTCTGCTGTGTGGGGGATCAGTGTAATAATGGCAGCCTGGTGCCAAGTTTAGAAACTTTATATTTGTACATGTATATGCATGTAACTTAATTGTACATTTCATCTTCATGTTTAAAGAATACATATCTCTAAAGGTTTGTTATTCAGACCAAACCTGATGAAACAGTTTCAATCCAAGATATACCATTAAAACAAGTAGGGGATAAGCCATTTTGCGAATAGCCAATGCATATGAGAAGAAGTAATATATATCCATACATATGAAATATTTCCAAAGGAATGGAATAAATTGTCACATTTTCCCTTAATTTCTCTTCATCAACTGTTGGCTTCATTATTTTCATTTTATCAATCTTGTAAATCCAACATCCCCTACTTTTTTTGAATGGTATAATATAGTATTCCTATGGTACGTTGTCGTTTATGATATCACACAAAGAGCAGTTCGAGTCAAGTCAGATCTTTTATTCGTATGTATACCACTGGTTCATATACAGAGAAAGTGCGTATGTGCACATTACAGTCGCCTTCGTACATACTTACACGTTGTTGTTCGTGTGCATTGCAAAGTATATAAAGTAGAAACCGAGTATATGTTGTTGTTCTTTTAAGATCCGATGGTGAGCCTATCAACGCCACTACCAATGAGCACTGCGAATCCGGATATTACACAAACTACTCCGGATGAGACACAAACAACTTTGGACGTCACAGAAACATCAACAGAATCAACTACTATACATTACCGTAAGCCTAAATATATATATCGACAATTTTCCATATGGAATTGTAACCATGGTTACCTATTAATTACACACAGTGGTAGTCTGCCAGGAAATACATTTTAAATGCATTCTTGAAAAGTATGATTTGGTTCTAAGCCGATAAATGAATCGGAATTACCGTTTCTGTATGAAACGCATTCTGGTCAGTTTAATATATATCAGATGCTTACGATTAAACACGTGTAAACTATTACTAGGAATTATATTTCTCCAACACCTATTTCTTGTCATAGCGGCCAAGAAATGTTGTGATCTGGGGGTCATACTGTGACTTCACATTGAGAGACATCGCATACGTAACCCCAATGGCAAGGTCCGTTTTTCAGTCAGGGGTTTTCCTGGCCCAGACCCGATTATCTACAGGTGACGTTAGTGGATTATTGTTGACAGTGGAATGAAATCAGTCTTAAAACAGAACGTTCATGTTTTGTCATAAACCTTTAAACAGCATTATGTGACACCTGCTCTGCCGATGACCCCAAATGCATGACGAGAGGTCAACCCACGACGTGTGACCTTGACACACCATTCTGTATGACCTCAGTAATTGAAGATATGACCTCAAGGCAGACAGCTAGAAGAATGTAAGTTCTAGAACTACGCTTCCTTTTCTAGAATCATTGATTAAACATTCCTGTGCAGAAATGATCACAAGTGTCAAATCAAAGCATGTCAAGAGATGATTCTTTTCAGGGTGAAATATGTTCCAAAGCTGCAAGTATTATGTGGTCATGGGTTCGAATCCAAGATTCGAATGTACTGTGGCGCTAGGTGTGGTCAGGACCATACCTCTGTATTTGGGCTTGTAAACGTTATGGAATGCCTCCGTGGTGTAGTGGCTAGAGTGTGTGCCCGACAATGCGGAAGGTCGATGGTTCGATTTCCCAACAGCATCATATCAAAAGATGTTTTTAAATGGTACTTGATAAAGGATACAAAAGATAACACTAGGACTGGTCGGTCCGGAGCCTGTATCCTGTGTCTGAGTGGGACATTCATGTTAAACTGTAGCATCGTATCAAAGTCGACTTGCACTAGCATCTTAATCTGGAATTATTCTTCAGCAACCCATGCTTGTTGTAAATTGCGACTAATGGGATCGGGTGGTCAGACTCTCTGACTTGGTTGACATATATCATTGTATCCCAATTGCATAGATCGATGCTCATGCTGTTGATCCCTGGATTGTCTTGGTCCATAGTAGATTATTTACAGACCGTCGCCATATAGTTGTTGATTGTGTAACCTGTCGTATTTTCCCAGGTGTGTAAACGAAACAGTTTGTCAAGTAGAATGGCTACAGAAGACTTCCTCCAAGTACTATTGCTACAGGGTGGACCAGGGGCCTCTCTACTTCGCCAATACCTGTAGTTTCTGCTGTAGAGGAGACCTATGTAACAGCGGAACCCTTGTTCCGGACACACACAAACTTTACGGTAAGATCCTTCTGATCCTTGTCTTACAATACAAGTAGTTAGAATAGGTTTTGATCTTTTAATATATATACTCATGCCAATAATGGTTGTCAACCCCTCCCCACCCCAACCCCACACACCCAAGCCACACCCCACACCCTCTCCAAAACATTGAAGGGGGTGACAACCATTATTGGCATGAGTATAGTTAGTGGTCCTAGAGATCTAGTAAAGCTTTTAATTGTTTCAAAGCAAGAGACACAACAAGTGCTACTGGAACCACCCCAGTTAGACAAGGCCATTCAAAGAATTTATTCACTGTATAGTTTCTATTAGTTGACAACAAAATGCCATTTAAATTCTGTGTGGAGACAACTGCGTCTAGCTAACTGTGTTGAGTTGCACCATTTTGGCGTGCAGAATCCAGTGATGGTGGGTAGATTTGCCCTGGTTGTGATCTTTGGTTTGTCAACAGCTTATATTCGTTGGTTTCGTCAAACTGGGTAACACGTACTTTCTGCACCTATCGGATTCTCCTCATTAAACTGATACACCTTGATACGACTGATATACTGTTCAAAGCGACATTCAAAGTCCAGCAAAAATTGGTTGACAGGGACTCTGTATCACGTCGCATTGTTTAAACGAAAACACCTCACGGATACAATGGCAACGCCTGATTTATTCACTCTATAGAAATATTTACACCTACTGAGATGCAAGTAGTTATTGACATGTCGTTTTTAATATATTTTCCAGTTTTACCGCCAACCATAGGTAAGTATTTGTTCTCAATAAATCAAAGACTTGCTCGTCTTCAAATATCAGAATATGGTTCCCGGATAATGGTTTTCCTACTTCATCTTGTGTTGTTACAAATCCAAACAAACAAGCAAGTGTTGAAAAAGATACAATTTTATGCCAGTCTCAAGTTGTATGGAAATTGTTTAGTGAGCGGGCGAGTTTAGTTTTACGCCGCTTTTAGCAATATTCCAGCAATATCACGGCGGAGGACCCCACAAATGGGCTTCACATATTGCACCCATGTGAGGACTCGAACCCGGGTCTTGGGCGTAACGAGCGAACGCTTTAACCACTAGGCTACCATGAAAATTTAAATTACAATGTGACTTTCTGCAGTTTTCATCCAATAGGTTAGTAGTTTTCCTTTTTTCCCAGGAAGGATGCTATTATACTAATTCCTTTCACTGAGTGTGTTTTTTTACAGCACGTATACATTTGTTACACTTAGGCGGTGGGGTAGTCCAGTGGTTAAAGCGTTCACTTTAGACCCTAAGACCCGGATTCGATTCCCCACATGGATACAATGCGTGAAACCCATTTCTGGTGTCCCCCCACCCTGATATTGCTGGAAAATTACTAAAACTATACTCACTCACTCATTTAGGGTTTATGTATTTTGCTGTTATTCACAGGGCCGACAGCAACAGACATGGCCTCCACCACGCCGTAAACAACTATGTAACTGCTGGCAAAGGTCTTACGGTGAAACGTATATGAAAAAAATATGATAAACCATTTTGAGACTCCAGGAATAAGACAGTGGGTGGTTGCCGGAGTAGCGCGAACTGCCATCTTGTTCTGTACAAATGTATCTATATCTTTGTGTCGCTTCGATTAAACAAACATAATCCAGTACCTTGGTATTTCGTTTTATATTTTGTGGAACTGCAAATTTGGTTCGAGGTAAAAAAAACAATAACAAATTTTAACATAAGTTGCACTGTGGGCTTTAAGGACAATTGTATCATTATGATGGTGTCTCACTGTTGTGAAGCCATTCTGAACGCGCATTGTGTATTAATTTTGTAGATCTGACAACTCTACAAATCATAATTCAAAATTTCGAATAAGTCCGAAAAGTCTGTTGATTCTGGAAGTAGAAAGCACCCACAGTTCATGGCTGGATGAACGTGCTTCCGGAAACCAGTCAACACTCACACATGGCCATTCAAACAATAGCTGCCAGAATCATAACTAGATGTCCCCGACGAAGTACACCTTACAAGCAGTCACTACTCTGGGAATGTGTCAACCAAGCCAGCGAGCCTGACCACCCGATCCCGTTAGTCGTCTCTTACGACAAGCATACTTTACTGAAGACCAATTCTAACCCAGATCTTCACGGGTCTGAAAAGTGATGCTAGAATCTTTTTTTTCCAAACAGATAAAGTATGTTCTGCTCTGCTGGTAATCAATTTAAACGTCAAAGTCGTTGAAAGTGTTTTTAAACCAAATCCATATATAAACTCTGTCCTCAGATATGAAAAATGCGTTTGAATGAAGTTATTGCTTCCAAACTAAATTTTATGCGAATGTATTGAAATGATACACGTAATTAATGAAGATTACCATCCAAACAACTGCATTTGTACGCATAAGTGTATTTTATTGCTTATTCCGTCACAACGCATGAAATGACCCTCATGGTGACTTCGCACAAAAAAAACAACACATGCAAATCATGAAAATGGCAGTTAATGTAGGGGTGTATAAAAGCCCATGTGCTTCCGTATTATATTCATTCATTTGTCGCCGAAAAGCTGTGTTAAAAATGCCACGATTGAGTGCTGCCGACCGAAATATCGCCATTGGTCGTGTTCAAGCCGGAGAAAGTTTTGGAACTGTTGCACGGCACCTAAATGTTCACAAAACAACGATATCCCGACTTTGGAGCCGCTACAACAACTTCAATTTGACCAACGATCGCCCGAGAAGTGGAAGGCCAAGAATCACGACCCCCCTTCAAGATCGGTACATCCGGGTCCATCACCTGCGTAATCGGCATGCCCTACCAACCGTGACTGCCACACAAATACCAGGTTTGAGGAGAGTGTCAGCTCAAACGATTAGGAACCGTCTGAAAGAAGCGGGTTTACGTGCCTGTAGACCAGTTGTTGGACCTGTACTACGCCCCCTACATCGACGCCGACGACTCAGGTGGTGCAACAACGTAAGGATACGGACTTTACAAAACTGGAGGCGAATCTGGTTTTCTGATGAATCACGTTTTCTTTTGCAACGTCACGACGGAAGACAGCGTCTGTATAGGAGACGTCATAAACGTTTTGCGCCCATCTGCGTCCGACAGGTGGGCGGAGAAAGCGTCATGGTTTGGGGAACCATCTCATACAACCAGAAATCAGACTTGGTGATCGTTCCAGGGAACCTGACAGCCCAACGTTACATCAACCACGTGTTAGAGCTTCACCTTCTCCCGATTATTGACCAACAGACACAGATTTTTCAACGGGACAACGCCCGGCCTCATACTGCACGTGCAACAATGAACTTTCTGCAGAATTCCAACGTCAATGTCTTGCCATGACCCTCTAGATCACCAGACCTCAACCCTATTGAACACCTGTGGGATACTCTGGATCGACGCGTACGTCAACGTCAGCCGCCGCCACAGACGCTGCAACAGCTCGCCGTTGCACTGCAGGAGGAGTGGAGAGCCATTCCCCAGGAAAGAATCCGGCGTCTTATCCGTTCTTGTCCAAGGAGATGCCGTGCAGTGATTGCAGCGCGTGGTGCTCATACGAGATACTGAGAAAGACGCCCCCCTGGTGACCAACTGGTGTCTGTGAGATGACTTTTGAAATGACAATTTTAAACATGCCCATCTGGGTTATTATTCTGCCAAATTTCAGACTTCTGTCTTAAATAATAAAAATGCCGTGTCGTCCTAAAACTTCAGATCAAAATCTCTAAAATACAGGGGTTGCGTTTCTTTTTTGACAGAGTTTATATTGAACTGAAGGATGTCACGTGTCAGAGTTTACAAATAAATAGCCTCTAAGGATTATCCTAATTAACTCGATAATGAGCACCGAAATCAAATGCATTTTAAAAGAAGATTGTGCGATGTGTGTTTATTCAATACTTGATAAAAGAAGTATAAATATTTGTTGGCATAAATAGCAAACCATAATAATAGCCGTACGTTGCAAATGAGTAGTTCAAGAGAGAACTGTTTTGTCTTTCAGCGAAGACGTCTTGCAATGGTTGTTTGTATCAGCACAAATTGGTGAATCCTATCAAAAGGGTGATTTCATATTAGATGAAATGCATACAAATTCAGACAAAAAGTATCCACACCACTATATGACAAAAGGAGGCGAACATTGATCATCCAATAGTTTGAATTGCCATGGATCAGATTCAGCTGAAGAACGTTGTACAACAGATTTTATATCAACACTAAAGGCCTCAACAAATATAAGCGACGAAATTGTGAAATAATCACATTCTGGTGTTAAATGTTGCCGAGTTTTCAAAAGATCGGGTTTGGAATTGCACCATATGTCCCCCGAAATTTTCAGGTGAACAATCCAATGTGTGTGTGTGTGTGTGTGTGTGTGTGTGTGTGTGTGTGTGTGTGTGTGTGTGTGTGTGTGTGTGTGTGTGTGTGTGTGTGAGAGAGAGAGAGAGATTGATTCATAGACACATGCGCAGTGATGTCATGTGAAGCTGCGCATGAATACAATGATCGAGTGAACCACAATGATCGAGTGGGATGTAGTGCCATACAAACTGTATGGATAACAACTTCTTATCTTTCGTCTTATCCATGAAGTATGTCAACAGTGTACTTCCCAACTTCTAAAATGATTGGAAAATGAGGAAATGCTGGAAATAAGTTGAGATACCAGGTGCCTGCTCTACCGGTAGCTATGTATAGGCTATATGTGTACACAAACAGCCACACATTAAAAGAAATCCATGTAAATTCAGACAATAATTTACTGACCAAAGAAACATGAAATCGATGTATGGAGCTCGTTGAAAGTAGCTCCTTTTAGGTCACATAAGTATCGAATATATGGTCTATCATAATATGAAGAAGTTTTAAATTAAAAAAAAATAACCTTTCCCTTTCATTTGGCAAAAGTAGCACATGTTTTGTAACATCGAAGCTGTATAGCCGTATTTCGGGTTATTTTCACATCTTCATCACAAGTCGCATAGCCTTGGTAAACATACTTTCTTTATCCTCTTGGATACATAAACCGCGAACATTGATAATGAAAGCAAGCGTCGTATTGGACGCCTTTCCCGTTTAGTGAGAGATGTGGTGCACTGTTTAGTGGTTGAATATTTATCTTAAGGAAACTACAAACAGCTTTCCACACGAAGGGTCTCAGGAAATGATGAACGGCAACTGAAGGAATTGATTTTATTTCCTCTTCAAGCTGTTAATTTCGTATCCTGACATACAGATTCATTACAAATCTAAAGGAAAATACATGAAAATTTAAATCGTACAAAATGATAAAGTGCAATTGTAGAAATGATTTAGCTGAATATTTTGATAAAAGCGCCATTTGATATCCGTTAGAAACAGCCACTTGCATATATATATATATATATAAGTATATATATATTTTAAAAAGGTGAATTGGATAGTAGCATCTTCACAAAATGGCAGTTTCACCCTTTTTGAAGTGAATGCATTGCCTCTATTAAGAAACCATCATGAACTCCTACAAAGGAATCACCTTTATAGTCTAATTTATGTCTCTCCTTGACACGAAACATTGGAATATTATCCTGACAAATCTTCGATTTTAGTAAAACATTTGCATTATGGACAGACAATTATAATAATTGTAATAATATTTAGAGAGTTTTCCGTAACTTAAAATTTGACACTTCCAGTGGGCCAAGGTTGGTACTTGCCCTACCTCGTACGTTAATACGTTTTAAACAGTAGCAGGCATCGGCGAGAAGAAAGAGTACGCCGGTAGCAACGAGCAGTGCTATACCTATGGCGCCGATGTTTTGAGCACTCGGTCTGTTGTCAGGGGCACTGATTTTCTTTCTAATTCTCTTCGATGTTTTTGCTTTGTCAGTGGTTAAGTCTAAAATTATTTTTTCGATTTTCTCCTTCAAGGTTTGGTTTGATAACCCACTGTTGCAGGGACATAGTCTGGACGGCCTTCGACTTCGCGCACCTGCAAAAACAGAATGAATTTATTAAGTCTCCGGTTTGGTGATATGTGTAGTGCATTCATCATACCTATAATAAATAGATACGAAGATTTCACATTCTCACATGACTCTTGCTCAAACGGAGCGGTGGGGTAGCCTAGTGGTTAAAGCTTTCGTTTCGTCACACTGAAGACCCGGGTTTGATTCCCCACATGGGTAGAATGTGTGACGCCAATTTCTGGTGTCCCCCGCCGTGATATTGCTGGAATATAGCTAAAGTGGCGTAAAACCGCACTCACTCACTCACTCACTTACTCAAACGTTGTTTACAACATTCAACAATTCTTCACGAAACATCATTGTGGACATGACACATCCAAATGTGACACATCAGCTACGAACGTATTTGCATTTCAGCTTTTCGCGTATACCTGGTATCATGCACTATTTTGATTGAAATTCATGAATGCATGATCATGATATGGTCGGACTTGTACAACCGACTCACTCAACTTAATGAAGTGAGTAAGTAGCTAGCTAAGGTGGATTGAAAAGCTCGCTGCTCATGCGCTTAACCATTGCTTTGCCTGTACAAAACTTATTTACTTTCAGGACGTCATGATATAATAGATGGACTATTGCTGGCGTAAAACAACATGCGCTCACACACAGCAACGATTACATACCTGCGGTTGTGTTGACTGTTGAAGTGTGAGCTGCTGCTGTCGCCCTTGTGCCAGGAGACGCTGTTGTAGCCGTGCCACTGTGAAGCTGAGTCGGTGTAATGTCTGTGCCTTGAGTAGTTGTTGTGTCTGGAGTACTGTCCGTGTCCTGAGTATTGGTTGTGTCAGGAGTATTGTCTGTGTTTGGAGTACTGGTTGTGTCTGGAGTACTGGTTGTGTCTGGAGTATTGGTTGTGTCTGGAGAACTGGCCGGGTCCTGAGTATTGGTTCTGTCTGAACTACTGGCTGTGTTCTGAGCATTGGTTGTGTCTGAACTACTGGCTGAGTCCTGAGTATTGGTTGTGTCTGAACTACTGGCCGTGTCCTGAGTATGGGTTGTGTCTGAACTACTGGCCGTGTCCTGAGTATCGGTTGTGTCTGAAATACTGGTCGTGTCCTGAGTATTGGTTGTGTCTGAACTACTGGTCGTGTCCTGAGTACTGGTTGTGTCTGAACTATTGGTCGTGTCCTGTGTACTAGTCGTGTTCTGAGTACTGGTTCCGTCCGGAGTACGGGCCGTGTCCTGAATATTGGTTATGTTTGGAGTACTGGTTGTGTCTGAAGTACTGGTCGTGTCCTGAGTATTGGTTGTGTCTGAAGTACTGGATGTATTCTGACCGTTGGTTGTGTCTGAACTACTGGCCGTGTCCTGAGTATTGGTTGTGTCTGGAGTATTGGTTGTATGTAAAGTACTGGCCGTGTCCTTCGCATTGGTTGTCTCTGAAGTACTGGCCGTGTCCTGAGTATTGGTTGTGTCCTGAGTATTGGTTATGTCTGAAGTACTGGTCGTGTCCTGAGTATTGGTTGTCTCTGAAGTACTGGCCGTGTCCTGAGTATCGGTTGTGTCTGAACTACTGGCCGTGTCCTGAGTATTGGTTGTGTCTGAACTACTGGCCGTGTCCTGAGTATTGGTTGTGTCTGAAGTACTGGCCGTGTCCTGAGTATTGGTTGTGTCTGAAGTACTGGCCGTGTCCTGAGTACTGGTTGTGTCTGAAGTACTGGCCGTGTCCTGAGTATTGGTTGTGTCTGAAGTACTGGCTGTGTCCTGCGTAGTGGTTGTGTCTGAACTACTGACCGTGTCCTGAGTATTGGTTGTGTCTGGAGTATTGGTTGTGTCTAAAGTACTGGCCGTGTCCATCGTATTGGTTGTGTCTGAAGTACTGGCCGTGTCCTGAGTATTGGTTGTGTCAAGAGTATTGGTTATCTCTGAAGTACTGGTCGTGTTCTGAGTAGTGGTTGTGTCTGAAGTACTGGTCGTGTCCGGAGTATTGGTTGTGTCCTGAGTATTTGTTATGTCTGAAGTACTGATCTTGTCCTGAGTATGGGTTGTGTCTGAAATACTGGCCGTGTCCTTCGCATTGGTTGTGTCTAGAGTATTGGTTGTGTCTAAAGTACTGGCCGTGTCCTTCATATTGGTTGTGTCTGAAGTACTGGGCGTGTCCTGAGTACTGGTTGTGTCAGGAGTATTGGTTATGTTTGAAGTACTGGTCGTGTCCTGAATATTGGTTGTGTCGGGTGTATTTATTGTGTATAAAGTACTGGCCGTGTCATGAGTGTTGGTTGTGTCTGAAGTACTGGTCGTGTCCTGAGTATTGGTTGTGTCTGAACTACTGGTCGTGTCCTGAGTACTGTTTGTGTCTGAACTACTGGCTGAGTCCTGAGTAGTGGTTTTGTCTGAACTACTGGCTGAGTCCTGAGTAGTGGCTGTGTCTGAACTACTGGCCGTGTCCTGAGTACTGGTTGTGTCTGAACTACTGGCCGTGTCCTGAGTATTGGTTGTGTCTGGAGTATTGGTTGTGTCTAAAGTACTGGCCGTGTCCATCGTATTGGTTGTGTCTGAAGTACTGGCCGTGTCCTGAGTATTGGTTGTGTCAGGAGTATTGGTTATGTCTGAAGTACTGGTCGTGTCCTGAGTAGTGGTTGTGTCTGAAGTACTGGTCGTGTCCTGAGTATTGGTTGTGTCCTGAGTATCTGTTATGTCTGAAGTACTGATCTTGTCCTGATTATTGGTTGTCTCTGAAGTACTGGCCGTGTCCTTCGCATTGGTTGTGTCTGAACTACTGGCCGTGTCCTGAGTATTGGTTGTCTCTGAAGTACTGGCCATGTCCTGAGTATTGGTTGCGTCTGAACTATTGGCCGTGTCCTGAGTATTGGTTGTGTCAGGAGTATTGGTTATGTCTGAAGTACTGGTCGTGTCCTGAGTATTGGTTGTCTCTGAAGTACTGGCCATGTCCTGAGTATTGGTTGCGTCTGAACTATTGGCCGTGTCCTGAGTATTGGTTGTGTCTGAACTACTGGCCGTGTCCTGAGTATTGGTTGTGTCTGAACTACTGGCCGTGTCCTTCGCATTGGTTGTGTCTGAACTACTGGTCGTGTCCTGAGTACTAGTCGTGACCTGAGTACTGGTTCCGTCCGGAGTACTGGCCGTGTCCTGAATATTGGTTATGTCTGGAGTATTGGTTGTCTCTGAAGTACTGGCCGTGTCCTGAGTATTGGTTGTGTCTGAACTACGGGCCGTGTCCTGAGTATTGGTTGTGTCTGAAGTACTGGTCGTGTCCTTCGCATTGGTTGTGTCGGGTGTATTTATTGTGTATAAAGTACTGGACGTGTCCTGAGTGTTGGTTGTGTCTGAAGTACTGGTTGTGTCCTGAGTATTGGTTGTGTCTGAACTACTGGTCGTGTCCTGAGTACTGGTTGTATCTGAAGTACTGGCTGAGTCCTGAGTAGCGGTTGTGTCTGAACTACTGGCTGAGTCCTGAGTAGTGGTTGTGTCTGAACTACTGGCCGTGTCCTGAGTACTGGTTGTGTCTGAACTACTGGCTGAGTCCTGAGTAGTGGTTGTGTCTGAACTACTGGCCGTGTCCTGAGTACTGGTTGTGTCTGAACTACTGGCCGTGTCCTGAGTATTGGTTGTGTCTGAAGTACTGGCTGTGTTCTGACCATTGGTTGTGTCTAAAGTACTGGCCGTGTCCATCGTATTGGTTGTGTCTGAAGTACTGGCCGTGTCCTGAGTATTGGTTGTGTCAGGAGTATTGGTTATGTCTGAAGTACTGGTCGTGTCCTGAGTAGTGGTTGTGTCTGAAGTACTAGTCGTGTCCAAAGTATTGGTTGTGTCCTGAGTATTTGTTATGTCTGAAGTACTGATCTTGTCCTGAGTATTGGTTGTCTCTGAAGTACTGGCCGTGTCCTGAGTATGGGTTGTGTCTGAACTACTGGCCGTGTCCTTCGCATTGGTTGTGTCTAGAGTATTGGTTGTGTCTAAAGTACTGGCCGTGTCCTTCGTATTGGTTGTGTCTGAAGTACTGGGCGTGTCCTGAGTACTGGTTGTGTCAGGAGTATTGGTTATGTCTGAAGTACTGGTCGTGTCCTGAATATTGGTTGTGTCGGGTGTATTTATTGTGTATAAAGTACTGGCCGTGTCATGAGTGTTGGTTGTGTCTGAAGTACTGGTCGTGTCCTGAGTATTGGTTGTGTCTGAAATACTGGTCGTGTCCTGAGTACTAGTCGTGACCTGAGTACTGGTTCCGTCCGGAGTACTGGCCGTGTCCTGAATATTGGTTATGTCTGGAGTATTGGTTGTCTCTGAAGTACTGGCCGTGTCCTGAGTATTGGTTGTGTCTGAACTACGGGCCGTGTCCTGAGTATTGGTTGTGTCTGAAGTACTGGTTGTGTCCTGAGTATTGGTTGTGTCTGAACTACTGGTCGTGTCCTGAGTACTGGTTGTATCTGAAGTACTGGCTGAGTCCTGAGTAGCGGTTGTGTCTGAACTACTGGCTGAGTCCTGAGTAGTGGTTGTGTCTGAACTACTGGCCGTGTCCTGAGTACTGGTTGTGTCTGAACTACTGGCTGAGTCCTGAGTAGTGGTTGTGTCTGAACTACTGGCCGTGTCCTGAGTACTGGTTGTGTCTGAACTACTGGCCGTGTCCTGAGTATTGGTTGTGTCTGAAGTACTGGCTGTGTTCTGACCATTGGTTGTGTCTAAAGTACTGGCCGTGTCCATCGTATTGGTTGTGTCTGAAGTACTGGCCGTGTCCTGAGTATTGGTTGTGTCAGGAGTATTGGTTATGTCTGAAGTACTGGTCGTGTCCTGAGTAGTGGTTGTGTCTGAAGTACTAGTCGTGTCCAAAGTATTGGTTGTGTCCTGAGTATTTGTTATGTCTGAAGTACTGATCTTGTCCTGAGTATTGGTTGTCTCTGAAGTACTGGCCGTGTCCTGAGTATGGGTTGTGTCTGAACTACTGGCCGTGTCCTTCGCATTGGTTGTGTCTAGAGTATTGGTTGTGTCTAAAGTACTGGCCGTGTCCTTCGTATTGGTTGTGTCTGAAGTACTGGGCGTGTCCTGAGTACTGGTTGTGTCAGGAGTATTGGTTATGTCTGAAGTACTGGTCGTGTCCTGAATATTGGTTGTGTCGGGTGTATTTATTGTGTATAAAGTACTGGCCGTGTCATGAGTGTTGGTTGTGTCTGAAGTACTGGTCGTGTCCTGAGTATTGGTTGTGTCTGAAATACTGGTCGTGTCCTGAGTACTGTTTGTGTCTGAACTACTGGCTGAGTCCTGAGTAGTGGTTGTGTCTGAACTACTGGCCGTGTCCTGAGTATTGGCCGTGTCCGTCGCATTGGTTGTGTCTGAAGTACTGGCCGTGTCCTGAGTATTGGTTGTGTCAGGAGTATTGGTTATGTCTGAAGTACTGGTCGTGTCCTGAGTATTGGTTGTCTCTGAAGTACTGGCCATGTCCTGAGTATTGGTTGCGTCTGAACTATTGGCCGTGTCCTGAGTATTGGTTGTGTCTGAACTACTGGCCGTGTCCTGAAAATTGGTTGTGTCTGAACTACTGGCCGTGTCCTTCGCATTGGTTGTGTCTGAACTACTGGTCGTGTCCTGAGTACTAGTCGTGTCCTGAGTACTGGTTCCGTCCGGAGTACTGGCCGTGTCCTGAATATTGGTTATGTCTGGAGTATTGGTTGTGTCTGAAGTACTGGCCGTGTCCTGAGTATTGGTTGTGTCTGAACTACTGGCCGTGTCCTGAGTGTTGGTTGTACTGTCTGGAGTATTGGTTGTGTCTGAAGTACTGGCCGTGTCCTGAGTTTGGGTTGTGTCTGAACTACTGGCCCTGTCCTGAGTATTGGTTGTGTCTGAACTACTGGCCGTGTCCTGAGTATTGGTTGTGTCTGAACTACTGGCCGTGTCCTGAGTATTGGTTGTGTCTGAAGTACTGGCCGTGTCCTGTGTATTGGTGGTGTCTGAAGTACTGGTCGTGTCCTGAGTATTGGTTGTGTCTGAACTACTGGCCGTGTCCTGAGTACTGATTGTGTCTGAAGGACTGTCCGTGTCCTGAGTATTGGTTGTGTCTGAAGTACTGGCCGTGTCCTGAGTTTTGGTTGTGTCTGAACTACTGACCGTGTCCTGAGTATTGGTTGTGTCTGAACTACTGGCCGTGTCCTGAGTATGGGTTGTGTCCGAATTACTGGCCGTGTCCTGAGTACTAGTTGTGTCTGAACTACTGGCCGTGTCCTGTGTATTGGTTGTGTCTGAAGTACTGGTCGTGTCCTGAGAATTGGTTGTGTCTGAAGTACTGTCCGTGTCCTGAGTACTGATTGTGTCTGAAGTACTGTCCGTGTCCTGAGTATTGGTTGTGTCTGAAGTACTGGCCGTGTCCTGAGTATTGGTTGTGTCTGAACTACTGGCCGTGTCCTGAGTATTGGTTCTGTCTGAAGTACTGGTCGTGTCCGGAGTACTGGTTGTGTCTGAAGTACTGGTCGTGTCCTGAGTTTTAGGCGTGTCCTGAGTACTGGTTCCGTCCGGAGTACTGGCCGTGTCCTGAATATTGGTTATGTCTGGAGTATTGGTTGTGTCTGAAGTACTGGCCGTGTCCTGAGTATTGGCGGTGTCTGAAGTACTGGTCGTGTCCTGAGTTCTAGTCGTGTCCTGAGTACTGGTTGCGTCCGGAGTACTGGCCGTGTCCTGAGTATTGGTTATGTCTTGAGTACTGGTTGCGTCCGGAGGACTGGCCGTGTCATGATCATTGGTTGTGTCAAGAGTTGTGATATTTTCCTGAGTGGTTGCTGTTTGTGAGAATGTTGTTGTGTAAGAGGTCGTGGTTGTGTCCGGTGTAGTGGCTGCAGGATAGACGCAGACTTTCAATAAATGATAATAACATTGAGAAAGTCGAGTCTAGATACGTATGAAGTAGGCAGCATCACATGCATAGCGAAAATCTTAATCTCATCCTACGACTCCATGTATGGCTTTTGCCACCGTTAAACACGATAAGCTAACCATTTTCTATATCAGCTGGTGTTATTATTTAAGTTTTTGTTGTATAATGCCGCACTCAGCAATGTTCCAGAAATATGAAGACGGATGGTTGGTTGGTTGGTTTGTTGTTTACGCCGCACTCATCAATATTCGAACTATGTGGTGGCGGTCTGTAAATAATCGAGTCTGGACCAGACAATCCCGCAGTGTAATAGGCCGTAACAAAGCTTGTAGACGGTCCGTTGTGGGTCCGCAGTGGGGCAGGAGGCATGTGTATTCCCCGGCATCTCACGATCCTTTCAAGTTTTGTCACGTGCGGCCACGTTTGTTTGGCGTTTTGTCAAGGTTGTTTCACCCTTGCTACCCGTTTTTGCTACCAAGCTTGGTTGTATGGGAGCCGATTCGTCCCGTTCCATCACGACGCATGTGACGGTTTACAGGGCAGGCGAGATACGGCACGTTGCGTTCTCTGGCATTCCCTCTCTTCAGCTCTTCAGGACTCGATGTATGCCCCCAGCAAACATACAAACACAAAATCTTCTTCATCTTTGGGGTTTTATGCTGCTCTTTTGTCTCAGGCTACAATGGCTGCTATTGCTTGGGAGGCCTTATTTTTATACCGTGGGCACAAACGTGGTCCAAAGCTGGCCGGCGTCTACGATTCATCCGTAGAAAATCTTGACAGAACGCGCAAAACGTATCAAAACCTTGATCACAACGTGAGAAACGTGAGGGAACCCATCAGAACGCGACAGCCTGCCGGGAGGAAACGTAATGGCATCCGTAGTGGACTGCGGGCCGAACCGTATTGCACCTTTGAGCTTCCGGGACTCAGCAGCCCGTTTTTCCCAACGGCCTATCACGGATACCGTGATAGACCGTGAGAAAACTTAGCAGGAACTAACTTGTCTTTGGAGGAAAAAAATAGGCAAAATCCCACGGAGCACTACGTTTCGGGGAAACAGGGCTGCCGTGGCCGTCGGCGTCGTGTAACCGTAGCATTAAGATCAATTATAACCAGGATTCTCACGGGATGGTATCAACACTGAATTCCGGTAGTCTATTCATGTAATTTTCGCCAATATTTTGTGTAGAATCCTGAAGGAACATTGTTGCGTTGTCAAAAGTGTCAAAATGAATCAAAGTGCGACAATGCGAGAACGCGACACATGCTGACCTTGAAAATCGTCGCTGAGTCGCTGTGTCGCCCCTTTGGTTGAATAACTAAACATTATTCAAAGCGCGACAATGCGACAAATGGCCAAAATGTCGCTTTATCTCATTGTCGCATGGGTAATTTTGACACTTTTCCTTGTTTCGGTAAGGGCGACAACGCGTCAAACTGATAATGTCCCTTCGAGGATTCCATAATTTTGCCTTGTACGTCAAATGGAATCTTTTGGGGGCAAATAACCAAGACTGATATTCTTTGGCGTCGTTTATATTTACCTTCACCTCCAGTAGCGCCATCAGGGTTGCCATCGGTACTGGTCACACTATCATCATACTCGCCTAGAATAGACCAAACAATTGATTGTTAAAAAGGTTTTGATCGGACGAGACATCATGAAGTAATACTGGGCTGTGCTTTATATCTATGGAAACGACACTGTACTGATCACGAGAAAAGATATTTCTGTTGCAACAAAAACACTCCCTCGCAAACCCCAAATATTGCACGGTTAAATGGAATAGCAGTCCATGTAAATTATTATCAAATCCCCTTGTAAAGAAAACCCCCAACGAATAAAGCAGTTTCCAAGCAAAGCGTGATCTATATGTTGCTCCCTTTCCAGTAGGGTAACATTTACTGCTGACATGCCAATAGGTCAACTTCCCGTTAAGTTTAACGGAACATTTGTTTTTGATTTCTTCTTGTTCTTCAACCCCGCACTCAGCCATGGTCCAGCTGTTTGAAGTCTTGAAATAATCGAGTCTGGACCAGACAATTCAGTGACTGACGTCATGAGAATTGATCATCGCATTTGGGATATGATGACATGTGTCACCCAATTCAGTGAGCCTGACCAACGGTCCGTTTGTCGCCTCTTACGACAAGCAAGGTTTGCTGAAGCTCAATTCTAACTCGGATGTTTACACGATGTAATTAATGAGGCGGTGGAATTATTACACAGCTGTTTACTATATTACGGTTTATATAATACGGGAAATCAGGCAAACACAGAAGCCACTGTGTTTCTTCACGAATTACAGTGGCGTCCCTAGTAGTGAACTCTACTGGTTACTTGTCGACTGTAAACTAAGGCGAAATTTATTAATGTGGTTCCGACCTGTAAAACATTTCTTGGCGTAGAAAGGTGACGTAGATTCATTGTCCATTAATATAATTTGGTGTCCGGCTACGTACAGAGTACAGTTCGAACCGAACACATCGAAAGTTACGCCCCAGCACTCCTTGGAATTGTTTGTATAAGTCAAACACTCCTCCTTGCACCTGTCGATATCTTTCATATGGACGACTCTCCGTTCTCTTTCTCCAACACAAAAAGAATGTTGGTTCATGATTTTTTTTGGTTTCACTTACTGTTCATAGGGAAGACAATGATTTGCCTCATTAATTTCATAAAATAAAATAGGACAATAAAATAAAAAATAAAATAGCTGCAAAAGCAACATACATCAATATGTAACAGCGACGACTGCAACATTAGTATCAGTGGACACGTTCACGGTACGTGATACTTTATATTTGAACGCCTTGACGTAAAAGAAAGCATAAATGCGAGACGTCCAGACACTCCTGGACAATTGTTTATCTGTACGATTTGAAGACAAGTAAATGAAGGAGAATTAATTTGTTTTGTTACCTCCCACTGACTCACAGATTACCATCTGTACTTGGTCACAATTCGCTGTTCTCCAGGCAAAACTGGATTGTTCCCAGACAATCTTGACGCACGTATCATGGTCGTTGTTGAGAGGTTCATTTTGGTACCAGTCAGTCCAAGACGTCGCCCCTACACGATAGGGCGCACGGTTACTGGCCCAACTGTACTCTGAGTCTGTGTAGTGAAGGCCTATCCAGCTGTTCTGGCTGAAAGCAAGCTCAAGGATTAAGCCCAAAACAACGCTGTTATTTACGACTTGCAAACGATAGGAATCAGTTGTATGCTCTGCTGGTTTGATGGCTGCATACAACTGCACCAGGGACGGCTACTGAGAAACGAGAGAGAGAGAGAGAGAGAGAGAGAGAGAGAGAGAGAGAGAGAGAGAGAGAGAGAGAGAGAGAGAGAGAGAGAGAGAGAGAGAGAGAGAGAGAGAGAGAGAGAGAGAGAGAGAGAGAGAGAGAGAGAGAGAGAGAGTGCACACTCTTGAGAGAGGGGGGGGGGCGCACGTCATTTTCACACACCCCGTCCATCCAAACCACCCCCCCACCATCCCCTGGATCCGCCTCTATATGCACGAAGGTGTTTTCCACCAGAAACAGCAAACTGATTCGTCGCTGACCAATAATACACGTGATGGAAGGGAGGATAACGGATTTGATTCGATCACTCCCATTTTTAAAACTCTACTTATTTATGATTTTAAATGTAAACTATATTTAGTCACCTGAGGCACCTTTTAGTTTACTTAGACGTTTTGGGTTACAACTGATTGGTCAGATTTGTATTCCTGTTCCTTACCTCGAGCTTACCCATGAAGATCCGGGTTAGAACTGATCCTCAGCAACTTATGTTTGTCGTAAGAGACAAACGGGACGGGTCAGACTCACTGACTCGGTTGACACCAGTCATCCTGTCCCAATGGCGTTGACCGATGCTCATGATTTCAATCACTGAATTGTCTGGTCCATATTCAAATATTTACAGACCACCGCAATATACATGTAGCTGGAATATTGCTGTGTGCGGCGTTATACAACAAACAAACAAGCAAACCTGACCACATGCCTGCCATTAACATAGAACAGAAAGATACATGCTACATGTTCTGTGGGTAGGGTTTTAAGTAGACTGTAAAATCAAATCTGTAGTGAAAGTTTTCTTATGCACATCTGATGCTTTATAAATGTTTCTCCATGCCAATTTCATGATTTGTTTAGTGTGAAATCAATACGGTCTGATAAATATAAGAGACAATAGCATCCGTTCAAAGCCACAAGAAATATTTGCTTAAGGGAAAGTTCATTGTGTGATTCGGATTGTATGATAAATATAACCTGCTAAACGTAACTGTTAAACCACAGACTCTCATGTAAAACTATGACTTCAACGCCAGGGAATATTCTGCCTGATACTCTGCTGAAACATACTCCACTTGGCGTAAAAAGGCAAATTAGGTGAAAATTACATAAATAGATAACAGAAAATAAATGACGACTGCGGGTGCATTAAACATGTCCTACTCTATCTGTAGTGCGTTTTAGAACTATTCCTTTACCCATTTTGACAATCACTTCTGCATATATTTGCATAAACTTAAACGAAACCTGAGGTCCAAACTGTATCATACAGAAAAACACAGTGACGCGATGTTTCAGCACTACTGTTGTTAATGATACTACTCTGTTACCAATGTATAGTACTCTAATGTGATTCGAATTTAATAATAGTTTTTAACTCACAATCGATTTTTCCATATATCAGTTTGGCTGTAAATCCTGTCAAGAGCAGTGGCCTTGACCTTGGTCCTGACCTCCAAGAGTTGCATGTGTTTGGAGGAACAGAATTTCCGAGAATCACCCCATGTCCGGCGTTCCGTAAACAGCGTGATGGTGGTCATCTGTCTCTGGCTGGACGTTTCAGGAACTGAAATATAGCTCTATGAGAGGGGTTATGTTCATTTGGTGCAGCAACAGCAAACCGAAGATGACTAATCCCCCGCCTACCACCACCCTCTCCCCCTGACTAAATCCAAAATCATCTGATTGTTACAACAAGTCCTGCCATAGTGATTTGTCCAAATTGATGACACTACCCCTATCTCCTCTGGCTGTTCTAGAGTCAATGTATTTCTGAATTTCATTTTACAGATTAGATCATTATAACCACATCTTAACTGCGATGATAATACTCTTAATTTCCTTAAATCTATAGCTGTTAAATACTTTTCACGCCTACAATGTTGTTTAAACACTGAATACGAATATGAGCATTTTGAATAGTTCTAGTCCATGTTTGCACTTTATTGTACAGTGGTTAAAAAGCTGTAAAATCCCTGTCCAATCCACGTATGTCCAAGGCCCATTTGAAACAGTGAAGTATTAATTATCGTAGCACAGTTATGTTTATTTCTAGCATTATTTGCATTTTCAGCCAAATATAAGAACATGTTATCGGCTCTAGATGGAGCAGGGTGCCAGTGTATTTTATATAACGTGTATCTTTGTGTTCCCTAGTACAATGCCACATTTTGTTGATCTACAACACTATTTAGCTATGGGTTTTCACTTTTGAATACCCTATACCTGAGAACAACACAAGACAATCGTCAAAGACCTAAAAACATAGCTGGACATTTAAGAGAACTTTTTTAGTTTTAAGAGACAGATGGTTGATCGATGCTTGACAAGTGAAATATCCAGAAAATAGCATGCGAAGGTAGTTGTAGGAGCAAATACAACACTTCTGGAAGACACCATGTTTTGCAATGATTCTTTAAAATATCGATTTGTTCAATTACAGTATCAGTAAACAGAACAACAACTTCAGCTAGCATAGAAGGAACACTTTCAATAAGTCTGGGAATAAGTGAAGACCATTTGTACAAGTGGACGATCAATACATAAATAGAAAATGAGAACAGAAACTGACTAAGAACACAGCTGTGTCGCACCCATGTGTAGCGAGCCTGGTCCTCCTGTTTAGTAACTCGGGTCCTCCTAGAGTTATGTTATCCTTGGGGTCTATACAAAGGTAACTTGCTTTATAGCTAACACATTGGTTTACCCAATTTTGTTTAAACATAGTTTAGTGCTATTATAAGTGCCGCAACCAGGATATTCAGTGTCCTATTCATATAATTTTCATGCCTATTTCGTCTATTTTTTTCCATTCATTTATATTTCATGCCTTTGTTTAATCTCTGGGTTTAACGTCTGTATAGAATCTGCTTTCAGCAAAAAAAATAAAATAATAATAATAATAATAATTCTTCAAACAAAATAACTTAATATTCCGTGAAAAAATACTTTCATTTGATCCATTTGTCGTTTCTCAGCTATTAAAGTAACTTGTTCAAAGGCTGGACTTCTGGGTCATATTAGGGAATGAGTGACTTTAAATAAACTCACGGGCGAAAGAAACGTCACCTCGCTTTTTAACATGTAACAAAACAACAAACTCAGATTTTGGAAATGTAACAGTCATATTTGGAAAATTAATGGTTTTACAACATTCTGAATGATGAAAGTGTGAACTAGAGATTTGAATGATCACATAGTGTACAATTGAATCGAGCACAGTTGACTGTCTGGCATTCGAGCACCACCTGTTTCATCATAAGCGGCTCTAAACTGAAGACAGACAGTTTAATACAGTCAATATCGTGTGTGGTCACCCCTGGCTTGTATGCAAGCATGGACGACGTCTGGCGGATAATGTTAGTCGTCTGATCACATGTATCAGGATTCTCCGCCATTCTTCCTGTAGGGCCTGTGCCAGCGCCTCTCTTGTCTGTATGGGTGGCTGTCGCTTGTTGATTTGTCGTCCAAGGTGGTCCCACAGGTGCTCAATCGGGGACAAGTCGGGAGATCGAGCTGGCCAAGGAAGTAACGTCACATTCTGGGCATTAAGGAAGTCCATGCCTTATGAGGTGTGTCGTTGTCTTGTTGGAACATGGTACGTGGGTGATTCTGGATGAATGGCACGACGATTGGTCTTAAAACTTCATTGATGTACCGTGCAGCTGTTAGATTACCATGAATCACAATAAGATCAGTCTTCATGTCGCCACAAATCCCTCCCCAGACCATCACGCTTCCACCACCATAGTGGTTGGTCTCTTGTACGCAGCTACGTCGTGTACGTTCTCTCCGCCTTCGGTATACCCGTTGTCTACCGTCTGGTTTAAACACTTGGAAACGGATTTCATCGGTAAAGAGCACTCTGGACCAGTTTCTAGCCTGCCATCGCTCAACAGTTCTCGCCCACCTCAATCTTTGACGACGATGTTCAGGCGTCAACGTCATAGCCTTCAGCGGTCGATAGGCTCTGATACCATGGTGTCGAAGACGTCTGGCAACGGTCCTTCTGCTGACTGGATGGCCAAGAGCAGTTCGGGCGGATAACGTCACATTTACGAAGCGGTTCCTCAAGTGAAGCAGTCGTAAATAACGGTCTTCCTGGGGGGTCGTGACCCCCGGACGTCCACTTCTAGGCCTGTCAGTCGTGACACCCGTCCGTCTGTAACGGCTCACCAATCTCAGGATTGTTCGCTTTGAACAGTTCATCAACCTTGCAACATGAGACTGCGTCCCTCCCAAATCCAGCATAACATTAGCTCGTTCTCTCTGCTGTGCTGTTAGCCTTGGCATGTTTCCTCTTTACCATACGATGTGATAATGGAATACATCATTTCTCTACACATT